ACATGGGTATAAATACAGCAAATCCCTACTGAGCCAGGCATGCACCTATAGTCCTAGCTACTTGGGAGGCTGAGGCGTCAGTGAGCTGTGATCACCACTCCAGTTTGGGCAACAGAGTAAGACCCTCTCTCAAAAAAAAAAAAATTGTTAATAGAGTCTGTAACAGAGCATACATTTTAAATTTTGAAAAAGTCCAAATTATCTATTTTTTACTTTTGTAGTTTTAGCTTTTTTGTATCCTAAGAAATCTTTGCCTAATTCAAAATCACAAGGATTTTTGTCTGTATTTTCTACTAGAAGCTGTTTCTTCTGTATAGTTTTAGCTCTTAAGTCTGTGATTCTTTTTTTTCTCTTTGAGACAGGGATCTCTATATGCCACCTAATCTGGAGTATGGTGGTGGGATTATGGCTGACTGCAACTTCTGCCTCCTGGGCTAAGCCATCTTCCCACCTTAGCCTCCTGAGTAGCTGAGATTACAGGCACATGCTACCACACCTGGCTAATTTCTGTATTTTTTGTAGAGATGGGGTTTTACCATGTTGCCCAGGCAGGTCTCAAACTCCTGGCCTCAAGCAGTTTTTGCACCTTGGCCTTCCAGGTGTTAGCCACTGTGTCCAGCCCTAGGATCCATTTTGAGTTGATTTTTGTTTATTATATGAGAGAAGGATCTAGAGTAAATCTTTTACATGTAGACACCTAATTGTTGTAGCACTATTTGATTTAAAAAAAAAAAAATTACACTTGCTTTTTTTTTTTTTTTTTTTTGAGATAGAGCCTTGCTCTGTTGCCCAGACTGGAGGGCAGTGGTACAATCTTGGCTCACTGCAATCTCTGCCGCTTGGGCTTAGATGATTTTTAGTTTCACTCTGTTGTCCAGGCTGGTCTTTGAACTGCTGGCCTCAAGCAATCCACCTGCTTCAGCCTCCCAAAGTGCATGAGCCACCATGCCCGGCCTACCCTTGTCTTTTGACTACATATATACATATGTGCATGTATATCAGTCTATTTCTGGATTTTCTGCCCTGAATTTCTATATATCCTTATGCTAAAAATACACTGTCTTGATTATTATAATTTTAAAATAAGTCTTGAAATCAGTGTCAGTCCTCTAACTTTTTCATTTTCAAAATAGTTTTGGCTTATTTCAAGGTCTTTTGTGTTTCCATATAAATTTTAGAAATAGGTTGTCATTCTCCACAAAAAAGCCTTCTGATTGGGATTGCGTTTAACCAATAGATTGATTTGGGGGAAATTGACATCTTAATATACACATAGTGGGGAACAACAGATACTGGGTCTAATAGGATCAAGGAAGATAATAAGTACTAGGCTTAATACCTGGCTGACGAAATCTCCACAACAAACCCCCGTAACACGAGTTTAACTATATAACAAACCTACACATGTACCCCTGAACTTAAAAGTTAAAAAGTTGTTTTTAATTGAAAAGATATATTGGGCTTTGGCTGGGCGTGGTGGCTCACGCCTGTAATCCCAGCACTTTGGGAGGCCGAGGTGGTTGGATCACGAGGTCAAGAGATCAAGACCATCCTGGTCAACATGGTGAAACCCCGTCTCTACTAAAAATACAAAAAATTAGCTGGGCACGGTGGCACATGTCTGTAATCTCAGCTACTCAGGAGGCTGAGGCAGGAGAATTGCCTGAACCCAGGAGGTGGAGGTTGCGGTGAGCCAAGATTGTGCCATTGCACTCCAGCCTGGTTAACAAGAGCGAACCTCTGTCTCAAAAAAAAAAAAAAAAAAAAGATATATTGGGCTTTGATTTTGAATATTTATTATATTTTAGCAATATTCATGAAGCCAGATTTATTTATTTATTCTGTATTCTTATTCATATTCTCTGGGAATGCTGAAAATGTTGTGAGGAAGAATTTTGAGAGTTTTCTCAACTTCCCCTTGTGACCAAATAAAGATTTTTGCCAGACAGGATATGACCAGCTCTTCAGTTTGGTTCCTTTTTTTTTTCCTTTGATGAGCAAAAGAAAAAAGAAAGAAAATAACTTTTTGACTAACCTAAGAAGATCTTTTAAAGCTGGACAAACCAGTGACAATACTTACCTAATTTTAAGGCCAGATCTTATGACTATCACATAAAATTAATATATTCATCTTCTAGGCCAGTGCTTCTCAAACTGTGGGTTTTGGAGCCATCAGCATCAACTGGAGACTTGTTAGAAATGCAGATTCTAGTCCACATGCTGTGGCTTATGCCTGTAATCCCAGCACCTTGGCAGGCGGATCACTTGAGCTCAGGAGTTTGAGACCAGCCTGCGGAATATGGCAAAACTTGTCTCTAAAACAATACAAAAAATAACCGGACATAGTGGCGCGTGCCTGTAGTCCCAATTACTCAGGAGGCTGAGGTGGGAAGATGGCTTGAACCTGAGGGGTTGAGGCTGCGGTGAGCTATGATTGTGCGACTGCACTCCTGCCAGTGACAGAGTGAGACCCTGTCTCAAAAAATATATAATAAAATAATAAAAAGCAGATTGTTTAGCCCTGCCCCAGACCTGCTAAATCAGAAACCCTGAGAAGTGGGCCCAGCAATCTGTTTTCACAAGCTTTCCCTCTAACTCCAGTGTAGGCTAAAGTTTGAGAGCTGCTGTCAGAGACTTTTTTTTTTTTGAGAGGAAGTCTCACCGTCACCCAGGTTGGAGCACAATGGTGTGATCGCTCACTGCAACCTCCACGTCCCAAGTTCACGCAATTCTCTCGCCTTAGCCTCCCAAGGAGCTGGAACTACAGGCATGCACTACCATGCCCCACTAATTTTTGTATTTTTAGTAGAGGCAGGGTTTCACCATGATTGCCAGGTGGGTCTCGAACTCCTGACCTCAGATGATCCACCTGCCTCCACCTGCCAAAGTGCTGGGATTACAGGGGTTAGTTTGGACTTACCATAGACTTTTAAAAGTAAGAATTCCCCTTTGTTCCTTGGTTCAGAACCTTATTTCTGAATGATTGGTCTCAAGCTTTATTAAAAGAGAGAAGTAGGGACACAAATTATGAGACTGTTGCAGCAGTTGATACAGAGGTAAAATCTACAGGACTTGGATAATGAAGCAGGGGAAAGAGAGAAATCAATGATGACTCTTTTTCAAAGTTTTTGATTCACTGGATCAGCATTGTACAAAATTCTTGTGTCACATCTCTTTTGATCTGTCCATTGGCCACTGCAGAGCTCTCATATTCTGTCTCAGTATCCTGTACAAGATGGTAGTTTTAGCATTGTTTCAACACCATCATCAGCACCATAAAGGACTTGATACTATTTTAATTTCTTTTTTTTTTTTTTTTGAGACAAGGTCTTACTCTGTCACCCAGGCTGGAGAGGAGTGTTGTAATCTTGGCTAACTGCAACCTGCGTATCCTGGGTTCAAGGGTTTCACCTGCCTCAGCCTCCCAAGTAGCTGTGACTACAGGGGCACACCACCACGCCCAGCTAATTTTTGTATTTTTTAGTAGAGATGGGGTTTCACTATGTTAGCCAGGATGATCGCGATCTCTTGATGGCCAAGCTGGTCTTGAACTCTTGACCTCAGGTAATCCAACTGCCTCAGTCTCCCAAAGTGCTGGGATTATAGGCGTGAGTCACCGTGCCCAGCTATTTTAATTTTTTTTAACCTTTTATTTTTTTTGAGACAGGTTCTTGCTCTGTTGCCCAGACTGGAGTGCAGTGACATGATCATAGGTCACCACAGGCTCAAGTGATCCCCCAGCCTCAACCTCCTCAGTAGCTGGGACTTCAGGCATGCACGCACCACCATACCCAGATAGTTTTCTATTTTTTTTTTTTTTTTTTGAGACGGAGTTTCACTCTTGTTACCCAGGCTGGAGTGCAATGGCGTGATCTCGGCTCACCACAACCTCCGTCTCCTGGGTTCAGGCAATTCTCCTGCCTCAACCTCCACGCACCACCGTGCCCAGCTAATTTTTTGTGTTTTTAGTAGAGACAGGATTTCACCATGTTGACCAGGATGGTCTCGATCTCTTGACCTCGTGATCAACCCGCCTCGGCCTCCCAAAGTGCTGGGATTACAGGCGTGAGCCACCGCGCCCGGCCAGTTTTCTAATTTTTTTTGTAGAGACAAGGTCTCACTATGGTGCCTAGGCTGGTCTCCAACTACTGGCCTCTTGCCTTGGCCTCCCAAAGTACTGACATTACACATGTCAACCACTGTGCCTAGCCTTGATGCTGTTTTCATTTGGGGAGATTCATTTGTGGCAATGTTTGTGGTAGTGCGAAAGTAAACTGCTAGTGGGAGCAAAAGAGATCTTAAATCTGGTGTCTCTTTTTTTTTCTTTTTAGGGCAGACAGGAGGTAGAAAGATTAGAAAATAAACCCTCAGCTTATGGGACAGATGATCATCTTTAACTTAAGTTTTCCTAAGTTTCAATTTACTGTAATTATTTTCCATTGACCAGTCTTAGTAAAAACCAGGTGTTGGCTGGGTGCGGTGGCTCACACCTGTAATTCTAGCACTTTGAGAGGCCGAGGCGGGCGGATCACAGGGTCAGGAGATCGAGACTATTCTGGTAACACTGTGAAACCTCGCCTCTACTAAAAAATACGAAAAATTAGCTGGGAGTGGTGGCACATACCTGTGGTCCCAGCTACTCAGGAGGCTGAGGCAGGAGACTCGCTTGGACCTGGGAGGCGGAGGTCATGGTGAACCGAGATTACACCACTGCACTCCAGCTTAGGTGACAGAGTGAGACTTCATCTGAAAAAAAAAAAAACAAAACCCAGATGTTTTGAATATTAATAAATGATCTCTGCTTTCAGGATTCTAGGTTTTAAAAAAAAAAAGAATATCAAGTAACATTCTGCTGCTGTTTGAAAATGCCAGGACAAACATTTTAATGGAGGCAATAACTGAAATTATTGTCTGGTACCAGAACCACTGTCTTCTCCTTATTTTAATAGAATATCGAATCTAGAGAAGCAAATCTCTTACAGTGAGTGTTTTTTTTACAGCTAGTCCTCCTCGCTTTGTGACGGTAGAAGAACTTCTAGAGACAGCAAGAGGCGTCACCAACATGGCTCTAGCCCATGAAATTGTAGTAAATGGAGACTTTCAGATTAAACCAGTTGAATTACCAGAAAACAGGTAAGGTGTTTGCTAAATTATCTTGCTTAGTAGAATACTGCCATTTCCCAGTTTTCTAAATGTTTCCTTCATTTGATACCAGTATATTCAAATATATTTTTTCTTTTGTATATTATTGCTAAAAAGTATTCCTAAACCAGGAACACTAGTTCTTTAGAATGCAAATAAAAGGTCTGGGAATCTTTTGTGAGAGTCTTTCTTATCAGCTTCTGCCTACTCAGTAGGATCTAGCAGCCTCATCTTGTGTTTTCATTGCATTGTTTCATTCACTTCTCTGAAACTATCACAGTGTACTATAGTCGTTGGTTTCCTCACAAAGGTGAAGACTGTGTGTGGGTTATTCTCTATGTCCCTAGTACCTGGCACTTACCATTTTTTTATTGAATAGAAGACTCTACTGATTGTAAGGTGCACCTTTTAAAAATGTGCTGTCATAAGAAAGAAAAAACACCGCCCATTATAATTGTAAAAATGCCATTGATTTTAAGAAAGATCCAAGTTTCTGAGAGATTAAAATATGAGGGGGAATGTTTGTTTTAGAATCAAGGAAATATTCATGCCGATGCCCTTCTGTCAGTAGCTCACTCGAGTCAGGACTCTGAGAGTCTGTTGGGGTGTCTTCATGGTTGCAGGATGAATGCTGCAGCTCCAAGCATCCCATCATACATCAGCATTCCAGGCAGGAGGGAAAAGGTTGGGAGGACTAGAGCTCTCCTTTTGTTAGAGAGGAACATCTTCCCCTGGAGTCATGAAACAGACATCTGCTAATATTTCGTTAATCAGAATTTAGTCACATGCTACCCCTGTTATAAGTGAACCCGGAAAGCTTAAATCGGGTAAAAGGGAGTGAACTACTGTGATGGGCTTATTAGATCAGCATGACTTATTGTCACAGGCAGAGTATATTGTTACCCTGAAAAACACTGAGATTCTGTTAACAAAGGGGGAGGAATGGCTGCTGTGCTGGCAAGTGTCTTTTGTAGGAGTTTCTAAATATGACTTCACAGATATTTCTTCTATCTGCAAAGATAGTACTTTTTTGCTTTTTTTTTTCTTTTTGAGATGGAGTCTTGCTGTCACCAGGATGGAGTGCAGTAGCGCGATCTCAGCTCACTGCAACCTCCGCCTCCCAGGTTCAAGTGATTCTCCTGCCTTAGCCTCCCAAGTAGCTGGGACTCCAGAGGCATGCCACCATACCCAGCTAATTTTTGTATTTTTTAGTAGAGACGGGATTTTACCATGTTGGCCAGAATGGTCTCATGATCCACCTGCCTTGGCCTCCCAAAGTGCTGGGATTATAGGCGTGAGCCACCATGCCCAGCCACTGTTTTGCATTTAATAATGAAAAATTATTTGTTTTGTGCTCAAGACATAAAGACTGGTTTGTTGTTGTTCTTGTTATTGTTTTTTGAGACAGAGTCTTCTCTGTTGCCCAAGCTGGAGTGCAGTGGTGCAATCTCAGCTCACTGCAGCCTCCGCCTCCCAGGTTCAAGCAGTTCTCCTGCCTCTGCCTCCCGAGTAGCTGGGACTACAAGCATGCGCCACCATGCCCCACTAATTTTTGTATTCTTTGTAGAGACAGTGTCTCACCGTGTTGGCCAGTCTGGTCTTGAACACCTCACCTCAGGTGATCTGCCCTCCTTGGCCTCCCAAAATGCTGTGATTACAGGCATGCGCCCTCACACCTGGTCAAGACTGGTTTTAATGAAATGTTATGATGTATATATAAATTGTTATAGTTTGGTACTTAGTTAAGCAATTGTCCCATATATCACATGGGAATATGATATTTTTAGGAAATAAAGCCCTTCAACCTACTGTATACTGAATTGTTGTTGTTACTATTATTATTATTTTGAGACAGTGTCTTGCTCTGTCAGGCTAGAGTGCAGCCAGGCTAGAGTGCAGTGGCGCTATCTCGGCTCATTTCAACCTCTGGCCAGCCTGATCTCAAACTCCTGACCTCAGGTGATCTGCCTACCTCAGCTTCCCAGTGCTGAGATTACAGGCATAAGCCACCATGCCCAGCCTAAATTGTTATCTTAGACTACTAATTATAAAAATCTTAGGAAACTGACTAATATCAGGGAACTAAAAATGATTAATGTTGGTCATCCAATTACTTGAGAGTGATTCTTTCCAATGAGAGGCTTAAAAATCACTAACTTTTAAAAAAAATGTATGCCATTGGTTGAAGTATGCCTGGGAAATTTTTCCTTGGTCCATATGACTGAGATTGATCTTACCCGAAACCCATAGTATTTGTGCTTTTGAAAGTGATTTGAAACTCAGATATTTTGTTTTTTACCTTTTTTTTTCCCCACTGCCCCAGCTTGAAGAAAAGAGTAAAGGATATTGTACATAAAGCGTTTTGGGATTGCTTGAGTGCACAGCTAAGTGAAGACCCCCCAGCATATGACCATGCTATCAAACTTGTAGGAGAAATCAAAGAGGTGAGGCAAAGAGTGAATTGTGATGCTTTCTGGTGTGTTAGGAGTGTTTATTTAACTTCTTATTTCACCACCAGAAGACTTTATAAAGAAACTGAAGGATCAAGAAGTTAAATAACTTGCCAAAAGGTAGATCAAGAGTGTTTTGGCTTAACGCCCTTTTAAAAAAAATTTTAAGCAAGCCATATAACCTGAAGGCATTAAAGACAACAGAGTTATTTCACAAAATCTATGTTATTTATAAATTTTAATAGGTGTGGACACATTCCATTTATAATGGCCAAAAAGTGATTCAGCCTTCGGGATAGAGAAAGCTTTAGGTGGAGGGACTGTTTTTGCAATGCCTTTAGCAATAGCATCAAAGAAGAAATGTATCCATGGAAATTGTCATCTGTGGTTGGCTCACAGGCTCACATTAATAAACATGCTTTTCTTCTTTCACCGTTAACAGGTTTTTCTTCTATCCATTTAATTTCTACTGGCGCTTAAGTGGAAGCTTAAGTAATTATTGTAAATGATTTGTAAACATGTTTTTCTGTAGATTTGTTGAGTAAGAAGTAAAATATGTGCAATATTATGTAGCAATTGGTAAACCCTTATTTGGATAGTTATAAATTACATATAATTAGAAATGATGTCTAAGGAATTTTGATTAAATGTAGCTGTGTTCTCTTGTAGACTCTCTTATCTTTCTTGCTGCCTGGTCACACTAGACTGAGAAACCAGATAACAGAAGTCTTGGACCTGGATCTGATAAAGCAGGAAGCAGAGAATGGGGCCCTAGATATTTCCAAGCTGGCAGAATTCATTATTGGCATGATGGGGACACTGTGTGCACCCGCTCGAGATGAGGAAGTTAAGAAACTAAAGGACATTAAGGAAATAGTGCCCCTTTTCAGGTATGGAACTATGTTAATCATACTCTGTATACCTACAATTCAGAGCTATTTTCTTTTTTTTCTTTTTGTGGGGGAAGAAGCGGGGAGGCTGGGCAGGGAAGAAGGGGAGGAAGACACGCAGACTGGCAAGGGAGCATGAGCTATTTTCTTTTCTTTTTTTTTGAGATGGAGTCTCACTCTGTTGCCCAAGCTGGAGTGCAATGGGGCAATCTTCGCTCACTGCAACCTCTGCATCCTGCATTCAAGCAATTCTCATGCCTCAGCCTCCTGAGTAGCTGGGATTACAGGCGCACACCACCATGCCTGGCTAACTTTTGTATTTTTAGTAGACATGGGGTTTCACTATGTTGGACAGGCTGGTCTCGAACTCCTGACCTCAGGTGATCCACTCGCCTTGGCCTCCCAAAGTGCTGGGACCACAGGCATGAGCCACTGTGCTCAGCCCAGAGCTAGTTTCAGTTTAAACTTCCCGAAGTCTTGGTACTCATGAATTAACAAAGGAATTTCAAGCAAACATTTTGTAAAATGCAGAAAAGTAAAAAGAGGACATTTATTCATAATTGTACCACTCAGAGGTACAATCACTTTTATCATTTTGATCTATATATTTTTTTATACATCTAATTCCCTCAACATTTTCTTTTGAAAAATTTCAAACCTACAGAAAAGTTTCAAAAACAGTACAATCACCATTCACATGCCCTTCATGTAGATCCATCAGTTTTTATCATGTTGTCACAATTGCTTTGCTGCCCAGGCTGGTCTGGAACTTCTGGGCTCAAGTGGTCCTCCCGCCTTGGCCTCTCAAAGTACTGGGATTACAGGCATGAGCTACGGGTCTGGTCCTCTTTTCCTTTAATATTATGTTTAGTTTACAATTGCTTGGTTCTAAATCCTTTTTTCTTTTAGAGAAATTTTTTCTGTGTTGGACCTAATGAAAGTGGACATGGCCAACTTTGCTATCAGTAGCATCAGGCCTCATCTCATGCAGCAGTCAGTTGAATACGAGAGGAAGAAGTTTCAGGAGATTTTGGAGAGGCAACCAAGTATGTTTTATATTTCGTGGTACTTTTTTTGTTGTCTGTGGTTTTTCATTTTAGCTGCCATAGCTAGTTATTATTTTTAGAACAAAACTAAAATTTAGTATGAGAATAGTCTAATTTGAAGAAGAAAAGCACAAAATGTTAGGCTTCCATCTAGAGTTGTTAAGCATTGAGAAGAAAACTTAATTGACAAGCAAAAGGAATGTGTGAGGCCATGAGAATAGAAATTAAAAACAATGAAGTCCTCAATTATAAATGGTTTTTTGATGAAAACACCAGTTTGAAGTAAAATATATTCTTGGTCTTGGTTTTTTAAAACATGACAGACGTCCTGTGAATGTTAATTCACTTTTCTTCTCCCTGTGTGGCGTAGCAGGAAATTTAACTGTGCTTTTGCTCTGGATGCATAAATCTTCTTGTTTTATACCCAGGAAGAGTCTTCATTTTTATGAACGTCTCAGATGACTGCAGAAAACAGACAACTATCAGAATCTAAAACTATGTTGTATTTCTAGGGTGCTTTTTATGGTCTCTGCATTGCTGGCTGACATTCTGGGTAAATTTCAGTCTTCAGAGCCAATGTATGATGAATTCTGTTTGGCCTCTAACTTTGCTGATGAGGAGATGAAAACAGCGGTCTCTGGGTTGATTGGGTTGCCTGACCAGATTAGTTGCAGTGCCCCACACAGTCAATTCATCTCGCCCCAGGCAGAGAAGTCTGAGGTGGTGCTGGGGGCAGGGGAAGTCAGGAAAGGGCAAGGTAGGGGTAGAAATAAAAGAAGTTTAGGAATGTTTACTAAGTGCCAGGCTTGTGCCACAGGCTGTATGTGCGTGATCATGTGTAATCCTCACACAGTAAGCTGATGATGAGCCGGGCACCTTTTTTTAACCCCATTTTACAGATGTTAGAAACAGGTTTTCAGAGATTTTTGACCATAATGGACTGACCACAAGCTCACACTCTCACCAGTGTTGTGAGAGTACTGGGCAGAGTTTTTTTTTTTGAATTGGAGTCTCGATTTGTCACCCAGGCTGGAGTGCAGTGGCGCGATCTTGGTTCACTGCAACCTCCGCTGGGCAGAGTTTTGTAGGCTGAAGAGCCTTAATATTAAGGATTGGCCCTGGAAGCAAGGGTGCAGTGGAGGACTCACTGCTAGGGTGGAAGCAGCTACAGTGCCTGCATCTAGCACTTAACTCACAACATGGAAGCCCAGGTTTCCTAAAGCTGACAGGTTACGGGAGCACGCTGTCTACAGAAGAGAGAGTGAAGCCAGATAGCTCAGCAGTCAGGACTGAGCGCTCAGGGCAAGCCAGAGCTGTATCCCCCTGCCCCAGTGAAGAGCAGACCACAGCTGTCACCTTGGCTGCCCACCTGGTTTTAAGGAAGCATCCACTGACAGAGCTGCAATACCTCCTGGGACCTGATAGGCACAGTTTTTATCAGATGATGTGCAAGAGCCGCCAGCTCTCTCTCTCTATCCCTCAGAGTGCCCACTGCATTACGCAGCTTAGAAAAGCAGGAGTACTTAAGGGCTGCTAAAAGCAGTGTGGGGCTTCTCTGACAGAGTTTACTTTCCCCCAGGCTGAAGGGAAGCCAGATTGAAACCAGGTTAAGATCTAAACAAGGAAAAGCCTCATCGTCAGTGTAGAGGATACTTTATACAGGGAAACTCTAGCCACTGTCTCATCCTGTCTGTCTCTAGAGCTGGAGTCGCCAGGGCTTTCAGCTCCATATCATACAGTGGTCAGGAAGAGAGAGAAGAGAAGGAAGGTTTGTTAAATACCGGGTGGGTGGCAAGGCATGGCTAGGTGTCTTTCTTATTTTAGACAGGATCTAGCTCTGTCACTCAGGCTGGAGTACAGTGGTGTGATCACCACTCACTGCAACCTTAACCTCTGGGGCACAAGCAGTTCTCCTACAGGCACATGCCACCACACCCAGCTGATTTTTGTATTTTTTGTAGAGACAGAGCCTTACCACATTGCCCAGGCTGGTCTCGAACTCCTGGGTTCAAGCAGTCTTCCTACCTCAGCCTCCCAAAGTGCTGGGATTACAGTTGTGAGCCACCATGCCTGGCTTATTCATTGTCTTGTGTAATCCTCACAACAGCCTGTGAGGTGGGTATTGTAAATTTCCTTATATCAGGCATCTGAAACTCAGACACATTATGTCTTGTCTGAGATCCCTTAGTTAATCATGGGTACTACTATGATTTGCTCCAAGTTTTATTTGATTCCAAAGTTCATATTTTCTACTTTTATCACTCTGCCAGGACATCGGTTGTCCCTAAAGTAATTCCGAGAAGCATCAAGGTAATATGTGCAGCTTTGTTTTTCACAGACTCCCTGGATTTTGTCACCCAGTGGCTGGAAGAAGCCTCAGAGGACCTTATGACTCAGAAGTATAAACACGCCCTGCCAGGGGGGAAAACGGCTGCTGGCTCTGAGGACATGCCCAGGCTGAGCCCTGTTGCTGTCCAGAATTATGCTTACCTGAAGCTTCTGAAGTGGGACCACCTCCAGAAGCCATTCCCCGAAGTAGGTCTCTTGAGTCGTCTCACTACTCATATTTGTTTTTATGCTGCTGAACTTTTTAAAAAGAATAGCTTTGGCCGGGCATGGTGGCTCACTCCTGTAATCTCAGCACTTTGGGAGGCAGATTGCTTGAGGTCAGGAGTTCAAGACCAGACTGGGCAACATGGTGAAACCTCATCTGTACTAAAAATACTAAAAACTAGCCAGGCGTGGTGGTGGGGGCCTGTAGTCCCAGCCACTTAGGAGGCTGAGGCAGGAGAATCACTTGAACCTGGGAGGTGGAGGTTGCAGTGAGCCAAGATCAAACCACTGCACTCAAGCCTGGGTGACAGAGCGAGACTCCGTATCAAGAAATAAAAATAAATAAATGAAATAAAAAGTAAAAAGAATAGCTTTATTCTGATATAATTCATGTACCAGAAAACTCTCCTTATTGGAGTGTACATCTCCGTGGTTTTTAATATCATCACAGAGTTATGCATCCATTACCACTGTTTGAGACCATTTTTATCACTTCCAGTAGAAATCTGCACTCATTAGCAGTCACTGCCCTTTCCCTCTCCCTCCAGCCCTTGAAGCCACAACTCTGCTTTCTGTCTCTATGGATTTGCCTATCCTGGACATTTGATATAAGTGAAATCATACAGTACCAGACATTTGTGCCTGGATTCTTTCACCAACGTTTTTCCACGTTGTAGCATATATCAGTACGTTAGTCCTCTCTTCCACTCTGTTTTTTTAATAGTGGTAAAATACACATAAAATTTACCATTTTAACCATTTCTAGTTGTTCAGTTCAGTGGCATCAAGTGCATTTGCACTGTTGGGCAACCATGGCCACCAGCCATCTCCGGAACATTTTCATTTTTTCATCTGTGAAACTGTCTTCCCATCAAACACACCAGTCATTCCCCATTGCCCCCGCCCTCTGGCCCCTGGCAGCCATTATTCTCCTTTGAGATTCTATGAATTGGACTACTCTGAGTATCTCATATGAGTGAAATTATACAATTTTTGTCCTTTTGGGTCATGCTTGTTTTACTTAGCATAATGTCTTCAAGATTCATTTATGTTGAAGTATGTGTCAGTGTTCCCTTTCTGGGTTTTTGATTTGTTTGTTTTTAGAGACAGGATCTCATGTATTGCTCCGGTTAGAGTGTGGTGATACAATGGCTCACTCTAACCTTGAACTTTGGGGTTCAAGTGATCCTCCTGCCTCAGCCTCTTGGGTAGCTAGGATTATAAGAGTATACCACCACACCCAGCTTATTTTTAAATGTGTTTTTTGTAGAGACAGGGGTCTTACTGTGTTACCCAGGCTGGTCTTAAACTCTTGGCCTCAAGTGATCCTCCCTCCCTGGCCTCCCAGTGTCGAGATTACAGGCATGAGTTACCACGCCCAGCCCTCCTTTCTTTTTAAGGCTGAATAATATATTTTATTGTATGGACGTACCACATTTTATTTATTCATTCATCAGCTGATGAACATTTGGGTTGTTATTATACATTATGCTTCTGTGAATATTCCAATATAAGTTTCTGCATGGACACATGTTTTTACCTCTCTTGATTATGTACCTAGGATTAGACTTGCTGGGTTACGTAGTGACTCTTAAGTTTAACATTTTGAGGAACTACCAAACTGTTTTCCAAATCAGCTGCGTCATTTTACAATCCCACCAGTAATGTATGAGGCTTCCAATTTGTGCTGCTGAACTTTTCTGCTGTTTTTACACATCTTGATCAAAACCATGGCAGTGGTGTGGTTGCTTACAGCTTTACCTAAGGAAGTTCTTCCCCTTCCATGCTGAACAACATTTTTTCTTTTTATGCTTTTCATAATACATCCTTCTAACTGCACGACTTCTTTAAGAATATGACTAAGAAGGGATTCCCCCAGTGTTTCTATAAATAGCTGTTTTGGTATGTGGACTCTCCCCTCTTTTTGGGGGGTACATGAGCTTCTTATTGCTAGCCTCAGATCAAGCTACTTCTTTAAATATCTTATTTTTTCTTTCAAGAAGTTGTGAGCTTAAGGTTTTGCCTCTTGCCCCTGAGTTCCCTGTTTTGTGCTGGAGGAAGCTCTAAAGAGAATGTCAAATTGGAGATGGGAAAATGTTCCCTTTCAACCCAGAAGAGAAGCATGTTCTTCTGGAGGGAAGTTCTCAGCCTGACATATCTCTTTAAACATAGCTGTGGGAGACCATCCAGTACTCCCTTTTCCCCACTGCCGATCATCTTCCCCAAGCCTTAGATACCTCTGCTTCTTCATGCTGTGAATATCCCTAAACCCTCTCTATGGAGACGGGGATTTGAGACCTGTTCTCCAGCCTCCTCACTTGGCAGTCTTATGAATAAACTCTTTTTCTGGGAAAAAAAAATGCTCTGGGGAAGGTGGTGATGGTCCCTGGGGATAGCTATCTATTCCAGGAATTGATCCTTGGCAATCTCCATCTTAAACTCAAGTCCTGTGGGCTGTTGGGAAGCCACAAAGCCATGTGAAGTCAGAAAACAGACAGATGATAAGTCCTTGGGAGTGTATTTGTTTAACAGCAGAGGATTCTCAATCCTCAGAGATAGTTTTTACTTCTTGGCTGTGACCCCGCGTTGTTCATGTCTTGATTTGGCAAATCTCAGTTTCTGACAGCAAGGCAGGCCCTTAGAGACCATTTGATGAGCCTGTAGACTCTCAGATCAAACACCCATCTGTGCAGCCTTTCCCTTCTTCTCTCATCCACCTGGGCAGGAGGCGCTGGCATGAGGACCCAGGGCTTCCTTTAACATGGGGGAGGCAGTCGTGGGAATGTACTTGCTTTCCGGGAGGCTTTGGGTTGTTCTTTGTCACTTCTACTCTCTGTGCTTCCTGTTTCTTTCTCCTTTATTTACTCACTGGTCCTTACTAGCTTCCTTTGTACTGGGTGCTGAGCGGGTACCAAGGTGAATAAGTGTAGGCTCTGCCCACAAGGCATTTCTCCCCTCCATTGCCCTGGGGTGGTGGTTGTTTTAAGATGGGGTCTTGCTGTGTTGCCCAAGCTGCAATGTAGTGTCTATTCACAGACATGATCATAGTGCACTGCAGCCTTGAACTTCGGGCCTCAGTGATCCTCTTGCTGAAGCTTCCCAGTAGCTGGGACTGCAGGTGCCTACCAACACACCTGGCCTTCCATTGCTCTGTACAGGGTGACTGGCTGTCCTAGTTTGGTAGGGACTGAGTGGTGGTTCACAGGATGTGGGAGTTTCAATTTGAAAACTGGGATAGTCCCAGACAAACTGGGAGGAGTGGATGACCCTAGGTCTGTGCCTCCTTATGCTTTTCGTCCTAACAACATAACTTTCATTTATCAAGTGCTGGCTCTGCCAGCCATTTTATAAGTAGGATCTTTCTTCAGCTTTAAAATAGCCCTGTCCTGTGGGAGTCCCCATTCTACAGAGGCCTGACCAAGTTGGGGATGCTTACATGAGGTCATGCTTTTTTGTTTTTTTTGAGATGGAGTTTCATTCTTCTTGCCCAGCCTGTAGTACAATGCTGTGATCTCAGTTCATTGCAACCTCCACCTCCCGGGTTCAAGCGATTCTCCTGGGCTTAGCCTCCTGAGTAGCTGGGATTACAGATGTACACCACCACGCCAAGGTAATTTTGTATTTTTAGTAGAGACGGGGTTTCACCATGTTGGTCAGGCTGGTCTTGAACTCCTGACCTCAGGTGATCTGCCTGCCTTGGCCTCCCAAAGTGCTGGGATTACAGGCGTGAACCACCGTGCCCGGCCTGGAAGGTCATGCTGTTAAGCACGGAGCCTGGCTTTACACCCAGGCCTGTGTTCTTAGTGAGGGTGCTATGTTGCATCCTTGCTCAGGAGAAAGGGCTCTGAGATGGAGAGGTTATTTCACATGGGACTCCCTCAAAGCTCTGACCCACTAGTGCAAACCCTGAGGGAAGCTGCAGAGGCAGGTGAGGGGGCTGTGGCGCTCTCGCCCTCTGCTGGCCAGCCCGGACCTGCAGCTCAGCGATGGCCTCTTCTGTTTATTACAGACAGTTTTGATGGACCAGTCTCGCTTCCACGAGCTCCAGTTGCAGCTGGAACAACTGACCATCCTGGGGGCTGTGTTGCTGGTCACCTTCAGCATGGCAGCCCCAGGAATTTCCAGCCAGGCTGACTTTGCTGAGAAACTAAAGATGATTGTGAAGATTTTGCTAACAGATATGCATCTGCCGTAAGTGGAACTGTCATGTGTGGATGGGAGGCGGTGGATGGCAGAGAGCCAACTGAAGTCTCCCAGAGGGGATCTCCCAGTATAAGGCTGAACCCAGGGCCACTCTCTGGGAACTGAGAAGAAACCTTGCTGTCTCGGTTCACTTGACGAAGACCCCAGCAGAGTTTATTCAGGGTCAAAGTTAGAATCAGCTGCAGGGTTAGCAAAGCTCTAGGATTGTGGCTTTAAATCGTATGTGACTAGCTGAGTAGCCTATAGGCCTTAGAGGCCACACCAAGGAGTTGGGTTATTGTCCTAAGAGCATTAGGGAGCCATTGAAGAGTTTGAAGCAAGAGGGAGAGAGCATCATTAGATTTGTGTTGTTGTTGTTGTTGTTTTTGGAGACAGAGTCTCCCTCTGTTTACCAGGCTGAAGTACAGTGGCGCAGTGTGTGCTTACTGAAGCCTCTGCCTCCTGGGTTCAAGCAATTCTCCTGCGTCAGCCTCCTAGTAGCTGGGACTACAGTTATGTGCCACCATGTGCGGCTAGTTTTTTTGTTTGTTTTTGTTTTTGTGTATTTTTAGTAGAGATGGGGAGTCACCATATTAGCTAGGCTGGCCTTGAATTACCTCTGATCCGCCTACCTCAGCCTCCCAAAGGGCTGGGATTACAGGCGTGAGCCACCATACCCGGTTCTTAAATTTAAATTTTGGTGGGGGGCACATAGTAGATGTGAGGGAACATTTAGGAGGCGAGAGAAGTGGCTCAGGCAGGGGTCGGCTATGGGTAGGGTGGGGAGTGCTGGTATCAGTGGTTGCTTGCCTTGAGTCGGAGATCCTGGGCTTAGGGGTCCCGTGGTCCTCCATGCCCTGTTAGCATGCTCTTCCCTGGGCCTGGCTTGGTGCTGAGTGCCATCAACTCATTTATTCTCCCTACGCAGGGAACAGAATACTGTCTGACCCCTTCCTTAATGGGGCTGTTTGTCTCCTGACCTCCAAGGTTTTTGTGTTTGATGTTTGTTGAGTGCTTTATTTCTTTCCCAAAGCCATTCAAATGCATTCAACTTTTACTGGAGCTTATGAGGAAGCTAAAATCCAGTCATTAATTGGGACAAAAATGTTGGTGACTAGGACCCGCAGTAAGAAATTCATTTTCTGTTGTGACCTAGTACGCACTTAACACACATGTAAGTGTGCATGTATGCAAGCTTCGGTGACCGCTTCTACCATGGAGTCATGTTGGATGACTTCTGTGGTTCCAGCCTATAGAATATCTTAGAGTGGTTCTAAGTAAATGCTCTATCTGACAAGGTCCAATTCAGAGACTTCTTCGAGGGAAGCACCCCCTAAACATTCTCATCTTTACAAAATGGAGGAATTTTGCTGCTGAATTTGCACAAAGCATGGGTGTGTGCAGTGCAGTGTGGGGAGCGTCCACATGTTGTGACTAGGAGTTTAACAGTTTTGACAGTCAGACTAGTTTGTTGAGAGGCCAGGAAACTGTTTGCTCAGCTGAGGGCTTAGCCTGAGGCCTTTGCACAGGCGCAGCCCTGGGCTGTCACCTAGGTCCTCTGCCTGAAGAACTATTCTGTCAAAGCTTCCGCTGAGGGAGGGACCCAGACCAGTGCTTCCTTGGGAGCCCAGCCTTGCACTCTCATATCCACACTCACCCTCCAGGGATGGGCACAGAGCTGGTGCCAACAGTGAGTACCAGGGCTTGCTCCCATGCCCCCCAGTAATTCTGTACAAAGGTTCTAGACCCAGAACAGAGGCATTTACCTTCTCACAGCATGCCTCTCAGCAGAGCGGCTCCCTGCAGGCACCCTGGGAGAGCCTGGGGGGGTCCCAGGGTATCCAGGTACTCTTTTTTTTAACTTTAGGATTTGAAGTTTCTTTATTCTTTGATTTTATTTATTTATTTATTTGAGATAGAGTTTCACTTGTCGTCCAGGCTGGAGTGCGATAATGCAATCTCTGCTCACTGAAACCTCTGCCTCCTCGGTTCAAGTGATTCTCCTACCACCACCTCCCCAGTATCTGGGATTATAGGCACCTGCCACCACTACCAGCTGATCTTTTTGTATTTGTAGTAGAGATGAGGTTTCACCATGTTGGTCAGGCTGGTCTCAAACTCCTGACCTCAAATTCCCGATCCACCTGCCTCAGCCTCCCAAAGTGCTGGGTTTATAGGCGCACTGGGCCTCTTTATTCTTTTAAAAGTAGTTAATACATGCACATGTTTCAAAAATCAAAAGGTACAAAAGGGCACCCAGAGAAGAGTTTCTCTCTCCTTCTTGTCCCACAGCTACCAAATTCTGCTTTCTTGTGTATCCCTCCAGAGGTATACAGAGATATTCTGAGATCATTCCAGGCTGATTTTATCACACAGAGGCCAGTAGGAAGTTGTGCTTTGGGTCATTGGTCTTCGTATACTCTGAGCGCTTGCCCTTCCCACTCTCTTTTCTAGCAGAGAGAGAGGAAGAAAGATCCCCGGTCGGGTATGCACAGCCTGAGAGGCAACGTGGCTGGGAAAAGAGTCACAAATTGTCCCTTGAACACATAAATCCAGTTACTGACTCTGTCATCCTCACCCGGTGTGGGTGGTTGGAGCAGTTAGAGGTGTCTTTTACTTACAGCCCCTTTCTCCCCTCCTCCGCTCCAGCTCCTTCCATCTGAAGGATGTCCTCACTACCATCGGGGAGAAGGTATGCCTGGAGGTGAGCAGCTGCCTCTCCCTGTGTGGGTCCTCCCCCTTCACCACGGACAAGGAGACCGTGCTCAAGGGCCAGATCCAGGCTGTGGCCAGTCCTGACGACCCCATTCGCAGGATCATGGGTATGTTTGAGGGAAGGCAGGCAGCAGAGATGTGCCCTCTGAGGGGCTGGAGGACAGGCGCCTCTGAAGAAACCTAGGGCTTAGCTGGGGTTAGGGTGCTGATGGGCAAGGAGACAGTGTGATGAAGCATCACAGAGAGACCAGGGCCACCCAACAGACAGGCACTGGACCAGGCAGCCATCATTGTTCTAAGGGCTGTGACTTTGGAATCACTCACCTGGGTTCACAAGCGGTACCCCAGGGCTTACTGTGCAGCTTGGGCATGTGGCTTGTCATTAGCATTTCCTCATCTCTAAAAGTGGGAATAAGAGCAGCAACCTTACAAGGTCACTGCAGGGACTCCCTGAGATGAGATGGTGAAGCACTTGCTACAGTGCCTGGCAACACATAGTAAGCCCTTAGTAAATAGGAGCAGTTACAAAAATAACTGAATAGCAGAATAAAGATGTTATTTAAAAATACTATTAAAAGATTATTAAATATTAGTATGTAATACCATAAAACTATTAAAATAGTAATAAGATATTGCTATTTAAAATTTATAATAAACTTGAAATATTAAAATATTTTTAATGCGGCCAGGCTCAGTGGCTCATGCCTGTGATCCCAGCACTTTGGGAGACCAAGGCAGGTGGATCACCTGAGGTCAGGAGTTCAAGACCAATCTGACTAACATGGTGAAAGCCCATCTCTATGAAAAATATTTTAAAAAAATAGCTGGCCGGGCACAGTAGCTCATGCCTGTAGTCTCAGCATTGTGGAAAACTGAGGCGGGCAGATCACTAGGGTTCAGGAGTTCAGACTAGCCTGGCCAACATGGTGAAACCCTGTCTCTACTAAAAATAAAAAAATTAGCTGGGTGTGGTAGCTCATGCCTGTAAGTCCTAGCTACTCGAAAGGCTGAGGCAGGAGAATCACTTGAACCTAAGAGGCAGAGGTTGCAGTGAGCCGGGATCGTGCCATTGCACTCCAGACTGGCCGACAAAGCGAGACTCCATCTCAAAAAAAAAAAACATTAGCCGGATGTGGCGGCATGCACCTGTAATCCCAGCTACTTGGGAGGCTGAGGCAGGAGAATCAGTTGAACCCAGGAGGCAGAGATTGCAGTGAGCTGAGATTGCACCATTGCACTCCATTTTGTAGAGACAGGGTTTTGCCATGTTGGCCAGGCCGATCTCAAACTCCTAGACTCAAGTGATCCACCTGCCTTGGCCTCCCAAAGTGTTGGGATTACAGGCGTGAACCACTGCACTCAGCTAAGGCTTATACTGTTGGTAGGGAGGCAGGCAAGTGCCTGCAAGTAGACCTGTGGCCAGCAAGTTGCTTCTCATCCTGCTGCCTGGGTTATTTTGTAACAGCCAGTCATAGTCATGGGGATTACAAACCAGCCCTTACTGGGAGGATCACTTAAAACTAGGAGTTCAAGACTACCTGGGCAACATAGTGAGACCCCATCTCTACCAAAAATTTTAAAAAATACAAAATTAGCCAGGAAAGTGACATGCATCTATATAGTCCTGGCTATTCAGGAGGCTGACGCAAGAGGATCATGAGCCCAGGAGTTTGAGGCTGCAGTGAGCTATGACTGCACCACCGCACTCTAGCCTGGGTGACAGAGCAAGACCCTGTCTCTTAAAAAAAAGAAAAAGGAAAGAAAAACCAATCTTTGGGTAGGAACAATACAAAGATTTCTACTTCATTGAGGCTGCCAGCCCTGGGAACCTTAAAGAACCAAACTAATTTAAGAATAAGGGTAATAGGGCCAGGCATGGTGACTCATACCTATAATCCCAGCATTTTGGGAGGCCAAGGTGGGCAGATTAGCTGAGGTCAGGAGTTCAAGAACAGCCTGGCTAACATGGTGAAACCCCGTCTCTACTAAAAATACAAAAATTTGCTGGGCATGGTGGTGTGTGCTTGTAATCCCAGTTACTCAGGAGGCTGAGGCAGGAGAATCACTTGAACCCAGGAGGTGGAGTGAGCCAAGATTGCGCCATTGTACTCCAGCCTGGGAGAAAAGAGGGAAACTCCATCTCAAAAACAAAATAAAAAGAATAAGGATGATAGGGTCAGGTGCGGTGGCTCACACCTGTAATCTCAGCACTTTGAAAGTAGGCTGAGGCGGGCAGATCACTTGAGGTCAGGAGTTCAAGACCAGCCTGGCCAACATGGCGAAACCCTGCCTCTACTAATAATACAAAAATTAGCCGAGTGGGGTGGTGCACCTCTGTAATCTCAGCTGCTCGGGAGGCTGAGGGAGGAGACTCACTTGAACACGGGAGGCGGAGGTTGCAGTGAGCTAAGATTGCGCCACTGCATTCTAGCCTGGGTGACAGAGTGAAACTTTTGGAAAAAAATAAATAAATAAATAAGGGTGGCAGGCCCTGTCATGTCAGCAGTTTTCTGTCTCTATTGTGAGGTTCAGGAGGGCATAAGTTATTTGTACCTGACAGGATACCCCAGGCAGGAGGCAGGGCATGTAGTTTTAAAAAGTCCATTCCATATAAATGTCTCTATTGTTTTTGTAATAAAATCTGCAAGAAGTGTGGCTTCATCAAATCTTTTTTCATGAGGGTACACAAGAGTGCAAAAGCACTGTGAAGGGGAATGGACTAGAAAAGCATCAACCTAAATTATTCCTCAGAGTAGGACAAGTTTACAAATGCTCCCGACTTCCTTGGCAGGCAGCAGAGAAGGAAGCATGTGCTGCTTTCATAGAGGCCTAGTAGGAAAAAGGTCACCAGCTGCTGGTGCTTCTCTTTACTTTTTCGAACCTGTAATTCTGCTTTATTTTTCTACCTTTTTACGTGATCATCAGCAATGGCTAACATTGGTCTCAGGATGTCTTGCTTCTCTAACAGCAGAGCATGTCTCCAGTCACTCATGTCTTACTCATGCATTCATTCTATTCTTATTATGTTTTTTTTGAGACAGGCTTGCTCTGTTGCCCAGGCTAGAGTTCAATGGCGTGATCTTGGCTCACTGCAACCTCCACCTCCTGGGTTCAAGTGATTCTCATGCCTCAGCTTCCCGAGTAGCTGGGACTACAGGTGTGTACCACCACACCTGGCTAATGTTTGCATTTTTAGTAGAGATGGGGCTTCATCACATTGGCCAGGCTGGTCTCGAACTCCTGACCTCAGGTAATCTGCCTGCCCCAGCCTCCTAAAGTGCTGGGATTACAGGTGTGAGCCACTGCACCCAGCTACTCATGCCTTCATTCTTGCATTTCAAGTGTGTTTGAGCTTCTCCCGGGAGCTGGGTCTCATGTCAGGCACTGTGCTGAGCGCTGAGGAGACATGGTGGACAAGATGAGCTGGCTCCTACCTTCATTAAACTACCATCTAAAGGGGAAGGAAAACATTATAAATGGGATGAGTATGCAGAAGTGCAAGGCGCTGTGGGTATCTGGTCTGGGAGTATTGATCGGGGACCACTTCCCCTAAGAGGTGATGATTAAAGCTGAGGACTGAAGCACACTCGGGGGTTTGTAAGGTGAAGGACAAGAAACAACTAACCACTTTCTTTTCATCACAGAATCTCGAATCCTGACCTTCTTAGAAACCTACCTTGCCTCAGGTCATCAGAAGCCATTACCCACAGTCCCTGGGGGACTCAGTCCAGTTCAGAGAGAGCTGGAGGAAGTTGCTATTAAATTCGCTCGCCTGGTCAACTATAACAAGATGGTCTTCTGTCCCTACTATGATGCAATCCTCAGTAAGATCCTTGTCCGATCCTAATGTGTATGCACCTACAGCAGCAGTATTACTCACTCGCCGCAGAATACCTGTTCTCAACTCTAATGTTGCATTGGAAAATGGCTATATAGTACATGTCTATTTAACAGCACTGATTCCAAAGGGAAGAATATTATGTATCACTGTTGGAAAGATTCGTTGAAAAATGCACTGAATTCTATTTTGAGAGATTGTATTTATGAGTGCAAGTTTACAAATCAAAGAAGATTTTTGTTCTTGAGTTTTACAGGTAACATTCAGCTGTGTCTCCACTCCTTTCCCATCATGTCATTCCAAGGAGGCTGGGACCTCTCTCTTCTGCAATCTGGGTAGTTCTTATTTCAGATACCCTGTGCTGACAGCCATCCAAGCGTAAAAGAGACCAAGCCGTGACTTCACCTCTTGCCCTCCCTCAAACAGCCTTGCCCCTGACTCCTCCCTCCTGGTATTTTTTGTTAGAAGGGCTGCATAACGTCTTAGTGCCATTTTCTCCCCCTATTTATTGCATAAGGCTCCCAAGCCCTTTGTTTTAGAGGAGAATTATTTGTCTCCTTTTTTTTTAACTTTCTTTTTTATATTTGAATTTTTTTTCTTTTAACCTTCCCCGAAAGACACAGAGTTATTGGACTTTAAAAAGCTTGTTCTTTTATACAGAATTACTTCTGTGTCTGGATGACAGCAGTTATGACTTATGACATCTAGTGAAAGGAAATTCTTTGACTTTCAACCCTTGAAAGTCAAGGAGGAAATTGTTTGATAAATAGTTTACTGTAATGTGAAGGAAATGTCTGAAATTCTTACTAAAAATTTTACTCTGAGACAATACACAGATGTGTTGATTATATTAAATTCTGGAATTAGATTTAAGTGTTTTTAGATAAAATAGCTTGAGTTTACGAATCTCCTAGGTAAGCAAGTCATAGAAAATCTCTGGTGTTTGAGCATTATTTTTCAAGGAACTTCAGTGACTGGAATTCCTGACATGTCCTCTGACTGTGAGTGATTTGGGTCTCACAGATGATCTGTTCTGTTTGTTTGTTTGTTTTAAAGTGTACACGTGCATGTGTGTATTTTAGACAGGGACATTATATTAGAAGCAGAGCCATGAAGTTGGAATGATCTCCAATTGCCAGAACAGCAAGTGGTCAGACTATATTACTGTACGAGTAATGCAGTAATAGCAGCACATGAAGGCTTCTGCACAGGAAGCTAAGAGAAACTTAGAAGCTGGCCGGGTGTAGTGACGCATGCCTGTAATCCCAGCACTTTGGGAGGCCCAGGTGGGTAGATTACTGGAGGTCAGGAGTTTGAGACCAGCCTGGCCAACATGGTGAAACCCTGTCTCTACTAAAAATACAAAACTTAGCTGGGTGTGATGTTGCATGCCTGTAGTCCCAGCTACTTGAGAAGCTGAGACCGGAGAATCTCTTGAACCCAGAGGCAGAGGCTGCAATGAGCTGAGATCATGCCACTGCCCTCTAGCCTGGGTGACAGAGTGAGACTGTCTCAAAAAAAAAAACAAAAAAAACTTGGAAGCCATTTCAGAAAGACCCCAGGAAGACCAGCAGCCATCCCTGCACACCTAGGGGTAAGGGCTACATTTCACTACTAGCAGCTGTTTTCTCTGATCCCTCTTTGTAAGGAAATGCAGTGATTGTAGGTTTTCAAGAAAGACTTGAAGAAGCAGTTGGGTGGGTATCCCAATAGGACTGATTGAGGGGAAAGCAGATGTTCTATGAAAAGGATATTGGTCCCGGTAGAGTCCAAATACATTTTGCTTTTAGGATTTTCAAGATTGCTGATGGTCCCATGGTTTATACAAGGACTTGATCTGGCGCTAGGAGCTCAGATAGAAATTACATGTGTACAGATCAGCATTGATGTTGGTTCTAATATATGATGATGTGATAAATTTTAAAACAACAACAACAAAAAAAAACCAGGGCTGGGCACGGTGGCTCACACCTATAATCCCAGCACTTGGGATGCCAAGGTGGGAGGGTTACCTGAGCCCAGGAGTTCAAGTCTAGCCTGGGTAACATAATGAGATCACATCTTTACAAAAAGTACAAAAAAATTAGCCTGGTTTGGTGGCACACGGTTGTACTCACAGTTGTACTCCCAGCTACAAGCTGAGGCTGAAGCAAAAGGATTGCCTGTGCCCAGGAGTTTGAGGTTGCAGTGAACTATGGTCATGCCACTGTGCTCCAGCCTGGTCAACAGAGCCATAGCCTTTCTCTCCTCACCAAAAAAAGTAGAGCCAGATATATCTTTAGATCCCAGGGAGGAGACTGGAGAATCTGGGGTCACTGTAATCTGGCAGACTGGCCACATTTTGTAAGAGGACTTTTATTTATATTTATTTTTTGTTTGTTTGTTTGAATGTGTTATTTTGGGGGCGGGGGAGGGATGGAGTTTTGATCTTGTTGCCCAGGCTGGAGTCCAGTGGCACAATCTTGGCTCACTGCAACCTCTGCCTCTTGGGTTCAAGCGATTCTCTTGCCTCAGCCTCCCAAGTAGCTTGGATTACAAGCATGCACCACCATGCCTAGCTAATTTTGTATTTTTAATAGAGACGGGGTTTCTTCATGTTGGTCAGGCTGGTCTCAAATTCCCAACCACAGTGATCTGCCTGCCTCGGCCTCCCAAAGTGCTGGGCTATAGGCATGAGCCACTGTGCCCAGCCTGAATGTGTAATTTTTTTACAAAGAAACCATATCACTTCATTTGTTACAGCGAATAATTCAAGAGGGCCCCAGAAACTTCTTTCATCCACAGAATTACAGAAAGGATAAGCACCCTTACCACCCAAGCCTTTGGTTCATTTGTTTTATTTTGTTTTGATCTCTGTTCTCTTACCACACTGACATGCTGCATCCAGAATGGAACTCTTGTCTTCAAGTTTTATACTAGTTAGGAGGCTAGTCGGTCAGGACATCCCTAATTTAGCTGAGGAACCTGGGAAAGTCTTCCTTGATTTTTGCTTCATCCCAAGTCCCATAAATGTTTTCTTTAAAAATCTGCAGGCAAATGATGTAGAATGGACAGAGACATGAGATAGAAATCAGCAGAAGGACAAAGAGTACGGCTCCCATGGCACTAATAGACAGTAGCCTCCCAAGGCTAAACACAGAAAGCAGTGTGACTACCACATGGCTCCAGGGAGTACATGCCTTTAGTTTCTTCTGTAATGTGGGCCAGAGGACAACCTGGAGGCAAGTGTTACCATGATGAAGGCATGCAGGGACCAGGGAAGGCGTGATGCTAGCAGCCAGAAGCAAAGGTGGCCATGTTCAAGGATAGCGTGCTGGACACAATGGCAGTATTGGCACCATAGTCAAAAAAGATGAGTTGGCCCAACAGCATGAAGACGGATGTGGCATAGATGGTGTCAGTGCTGACAGACTCTGCCAGGTTCTTTAGCACTGGTGAAAAGCCATAAGTGAAAGTAATGAGACGAGGGCACTCTCCAGGTCAGCCCACCAGGTCCACCCACTTTTCTTCTGCCCTTCACCTCCATCATTGAAATCAAACAAAACCCAATCAGTGAAGAAGCTAGGCCAGTCCCAAAAAGCCAGTGGGTGGCCAGAAGACCCTCATCCATGGAACACCAGATAACCAGAAAATCACAAACGCTGCACAGCTGCTGGATCACCACACTGGCCACTATTGGTATTTCCAAGCTTGGATGTTTTTCTGGAGCTTTACCAGGAACCAGGTCCACTAAGTTATCAGGAAAGGGCTGTTTCTCGTATAAGACCTTCTGCCACTTTACCTCCTTGGCATCAATTACAGGTTGGGGACACATTATCCTTTCATTCAGACTCAGGCCAGTTTAATCATTGCTTTCACAGAAGTCCATGTGGTTCTTGTTCTTGATGATGTTTTGAAATGAGACCTCCCTGGAAGTTCCATGCTGTGGTTGATGTTCTACCAACCTTTCCTTGTTTTCAAAGGCAGCAATCCAGGCTAGACCTAAAATAGATGAGTTTGTCTCTGAGGCAGGACAACACAGCCAAGTTCCTGCCCAAGAGTTCCTGGGGATGCGTGGCTGGGGAATGGCGGCCACCTGCCTTTTTCCTTGCGAGGGTACTTTTAAAGACGAAAATCACATCTTCTATGGTATGTTCAATGAGGTCACTTCTGGAATTGTTCTCTTGAGGTGGAGGCTTCTCTATGGCCACTGTGCCTGGTGATTGTGTGATTCTGGGTTACTGGGCTGAGAAGCCTCAGCCTCAGAGTGTTTGGAGCCTTTTCTTCACCCTCCAAGGCTGAAGGAGAGGAGCTTACCCCCAGCTACACAGCAGCGATCACCACTTCCTACAGCCATTCTTCCTAAATCTCAAAAACTCTTCTTTTATAAGAGTACATTCTTGCAAGATATTTTTCCCCTCCTGAGTTCTTACATTGCCAGAATTCCATTTGGACAGTTTGAAATCTTGATGCATGAATAACTGGCTTCACAGAGTCTCTTGGCCCCCCACTACCTCAGTGTCCACTGGTGGAGTTCTGCAACTGGCAAAAGCCAAGAATGAAGGAAGCAAACTTCAGAACCACAGTATTCATATTGAATCATTTTGTTGTTGCTCTATGAAGATAAATAAGCTAATTTTCTTCCTGGAATCTCATAGGATTATTACTAAGCACCAGGGAGATCCACTTTGTTCATATAGTCACTCAGGAAGCATTACTAAGCATCCAGCTGTACCTTCCCCTACAACTCTCCCTCCAAAACAAAACATCCTTTGGAGTGTGGTGTTCTTCAGAATAGAACAGATTCTATATGCTGCATTCAGTAACGGGTTGTGGAGACAAGTGTCCTTTCCTGAAATTGCCAGGTGTATTTGGCAGTAGTACTTTACTACTTGTGGATAGAACTGAGAGTGAGGTCAGTATCACCAAGCCTCTTGGATTTCTTCAATAGTCTCATGAATGAGTGAATGTTTAGAGCAGTAACTGCTACATTGTTGGCTCTTGGTTGGGTGGATGGATTCTCAGTCCTGGTGTTTTAAAAAATCTCATTCTGGCTGGGCGCGGTGGCTCATGCCTGTAGTCCCAGCACTTTGGGAGGCCAAGGTGGGTGGATCACAAGGTCAGGAGTTCGATACCAGCCTGGCTAAGATGGTGAAATCTGGTCTCTACTAAAAATATGAAAATTAGCTGGGCATGGTGGCGGGCGCCTGTAATCCCAGCTACTTGGGAGGCTGAGGCAGGAGAATCACTTGAACCTGGAAGGTGGAGTTTGCAGTGAGCTGGGATCACACCGTTGCACTCCAGCCAGAGCAAGACTCCGTCTCAAAAAAAAAATTCCCTCTGAAGAAAGCTATAAAATGTGATTATTTATGTGACGATATGACTCTACCATAAATGTACTTCAGGTAAGAAGCACACTGACATGGTATCTTACTGATCAAATGCAGTTGGTAGGTATATATGAACTTTTTCCTCTGTGAAGAAAAGCTATTATAAGTTTGACTTAATAGGTCTATAGTATGCACTACTGGCCAAGATTCTAAATGGATTATTTGGCAATTCTGTTTCTGTGGTGGTGCTTATTTTCATTTCTCCAAAGCCTTAAGATTCCTGGGAATAGAGGAAGTGTTGCTGCCACCAACTTTGCTAGTTAGTTTCAAAGATAATAGGTGTTTGCTGTTTGATTTTGGTGACCTTTTGGTGAGCTCTGATTTATATGTGGAACATTTGTTTCTTTTCATTGTGAGGCCAGGTGGTAGAGTGGACAGACTGGGAGCTGTCAGGAAACCAGGGCTCAGATCACTCTGTAATGTACTAGCTGGGGCAAATCAGGGCCCATTCCCAACTCATTTAAAATGAAAGGACTAGACATGGTCTTTAAGCTCCCTTCTGATACTAACATTTGGCAGTAGCAGGATTGTGCACAAAGCTCCCAATTTAGAGAAAGATCTGGGTTTGAGTCTTTTTTCCTCTATCGCCGCCTTACCAGCTGTACAACATTGGGCCAGTCATTCTCCTAACACCTCAGTATTTTCATTGTTAAATGGGAACACTCCTAATTCACACAGTTGCTGTGAGGATTACATTTGGTTAGAGTGTTTGAATGCTTTGTACATAGAAAAGGACGATCCCTTTTATTTTTAGCTGCAAAGGTGAACATGTAACCCTCTATCCGTAGGCGCACATCTGCTGTGGTGTTCGGTTCCACTGTTAGCGCCCAACTTCCCTTCAGTCAAGCACATTCTACAGGCCTGTAGGGAAGGTTTTCTTCCTGTCCTCTCCTAAGACTTGTTTACGTTCGTCATCTCTTCTGTACTAGAGCTGCAGTCTTACCTTTGCTCACTTCCTAATATCCACCTCCACCCCAGTGATTTCTCCCCATCTCCACCTCTGTATTATTTGAACTAAATGAATCCATGATTGAACAACTGAATGGATGAGTGAATGGTAATGGATAGTGGGCTATGAAGTCATATTTAAAAGTACTATCTCATTTAAAAACAATCTAAATAAATAACTACGATGATATTTGCAAGTGTGTATTTGTATTGGATTTTGCATTATATAATTATTTTAATGGAAAACCTTTTTGGTCATAGTATTCAAAGCAACTTCAAGGGGTGAGGAAGGGGATAACCTTTAAGCCCAGGTAAGCTCTGTTTATTAAACTATAAAACGTTCACTGGTACTTTCAGAAATAGCCAGAGTTTTACAAAGTATGTGTTAAAAGCCTAAACAGACATAATTCCACCTAAAACTATCCTTCGTGTGGGTTGCTGTCACACCTAACTTACATTTATTGTGTACTGAACCTAAGAACCAGAACTAAGCTATAGGCCTGGTTAGATGGAGTGTCACTTTCCTTGACTTAAAAGTAACCTTAAGAAAGAGGGGCCAGGCCAGACACTGTGTCTCACGCCTGTAATCCCAGCACTTTGGGAGGCTGAGGCAGGTGGATCACGAGGTCAGGAGATTGAGACCAGTCTGGCCAACATGGTGTAAAACCCCATCTCTACTGAAAATAAAAAAATTAGCCAGGCATGGTAGCACGCACCTGTAGTCCCAGCTACTCAGGAGGCTGAGGCAGGAGAATCGCTTGAATCTGGGAGGTGGAGGTTGCAGTGAGCTGAGATCACATCATCGCACTCTAGCCTACAGGCATGCACCACCATGCCCGGGTAATTTTTTATAATTTATATTATATCAGCCTGGGTGATAGAACGAGACTCTGTCTCAGAAAAAAAAAAAAAAAAGTAACCTTAAGAAAGAGGGGCCAGGCAGTGTGGCTCACGCCTGTAATCTCAGCACTTTGGGAGGCTGAGGCAGGTGGATCATTTGAGGCCAGAAGTTCTAGACCAGCCTGGGCAACATGGCAAAACCTTGACTCTACTAAAAGTACAAAAATTAGCCAGGCGTGGTGGCGTATGCCTCTGCTCCCACCTCAGCTTGCTGAAGGGGGAGGATGGCTTAACCCCAGGAGGCAGAGGTTGCATTGAGCCAAGATCTTGCCACTGCACTCCAGCCTGAGTGACAAAGTGAGACCCTATCAAAAAAAACAACAAAAACAAGGCCAGGTGCGGTGGCTCAAGCCTGTAATCCCAGCTCTTTGGGAGGCCGAGGCGGGTGGATCACGAGAGATCGAGACCATCCTGGTCAATGTGGTGAAACCCGTCTCTACTAAAAATACAAAAAATTAGCTGGGCATGGTGGCGCGTGCCTGTAATCCCAGCTACTCAGGAGGCTGAGGCGGGAGAATTGCCTGAACCCAGGAGGCGGAGGTTGCGGTGAGCCGAGATCGCGCCATTGCACTTCAGCCTGGGTAACAAGAGCGAAACTCCGACTCAAAAAAAAAAAAAAAAAAACCAAAGAAGGGCTGTGCATGATAGCTCATGCCTCTAATCCCAGCGCCATTGCACTTCAGCCTGGGTAACAAGAGCGAAACTCCGACTCAAAAAAAAAAAAAAAAAAAAAAAACAAACCAAAGAAGGGCTGTGCATGATAGCTCATGCCTCTAATCCCAGCACTTTGGGAGGTTGAGGTGAGAGGACTGCTTGAGCCCAGAAAGTCAAGACTAGCCTAGACAACACAGGGATATCCTGTCTCTACATAAAATTTTAAAAATTAGCTGGGCATGGTGGATGGTGGTACATACCTGTGCTCCCAGCTACTTGGGAGGCCTAGGTGGGAGGATCATGCTGTGATCATGTCTCAAAACAAACAAAAAGATAGCTGAAAATTCTTGTTCTGTTTGTTTTTGAGATGGAGTCTCACTCTATTGCCCAAGCTGGAGTGCAGTGGCACAATCTCGGCTCCCAAGCTCAAGCAGTTCTCCTGCCTCAGCCTCCCTGAGTAGCTGGGATTACAGGCATGCACTACCATGCCCGGGTAATTTTTTATATTTTTAGTAGAGACAGGATTTCACCATGTTGCCCAGGCTGATCTTGAATTCCTTACCTCAGATGGTCTGCTCACCTCGGCCTCCCAAAATGCTGGGATTATAGATATGAGCCACTATGCTGGGCTGAAATTTTTATTAAGTAACACATAAGTTCACTTGCTCATTGTCACAAAGAACTGCCAACTTTAATAAAGGTTGTCTTAGGAATTTTTTTAAAAAAAGCAAAATTTATGAATATGATGACTATACTTTAATAAAACTGAACTCAACATTTATTTATTAACTGTAGGCCAATACAGGGTTATAAACATTAAATAAATTAATAATTATTGACCAAGGTCAATATATTAACAAAAATGGTGTTTTTTTAAAAATTCTTTTTCATTGCTACAATTTGGTTGTTCAGAGTTTACTAGCAGCGTCTGTAATCTTTTTCTTTACTAGGTGTGGCCACATAGATGCAACGTCTTTTCCTTTTTTTTTTTTTTTTGAGACAGAGTCTCTCTGTGTCGCTGGGTTGGAGTGCAGTGGCACGATCTCAGCTCACTGCAACCTCTGCCTCCTGGGTTCCAGCAATTCTCCTGCCTCAGCCTTCTGAGTAGCTAGGAATACAGGCATCTGCCACCATGCCCAGCCAATTTTTTTTTCATTTTTAGTAGAGACAGGGTTTCACCATGTTGGCCAGGCTGGTTTTTAACTCCTGATCTCATGATTTACCTGCCTCGGCCTCCGAAAATGCTGGGATATGGCGAGTATCACATTGAGGTCACCACCTAAGACCTCGATCAAGTTGGGGTCACCACCTGTGGAGGTCTGTCCTGCAGACCCTGATTCAACGACGGATGAATGAATACATTCTCACACCTAGCACAGTGATTCTGAGTGAGCTAGGGTTGGTCGTCAACTGCTTTCAGAGGGCAATTGCAGCTAACCGACTACCACTCACTGCTTCTCATCACATTTATTCAGTATAGATTTAATAACAGAGGTTCTAAGTCATCATACTTGTGGATAATTAACATGGATAATTAAAAGAGTGGTTTTACGAATGACAAAAGTTTACATGAGCAAACAGACAAAGGAATGTAGGGTAAACAGACTTAACTGGGGAAGCTTTATTGTCCCGATCTTTTACCCTATGACTTAAAATTCTAATGTAATGAACTGGCTGCCTTCAGCTTGTTCCTTTAAAATGTTTTGGCTTTCTAAAAGATTTGAGATTATAATCTTCTAACTTTCCCTAATATTTTGCCAGCCACCCCAAGTGAATCCCAACACTGGGGTTATAGGCGTGAGCCACCGCGCCTAGCCGCAACCTCTTGTTTGAATTGTAGTGGTAAAGGCCAGAGTTTGACTAATTTTTGTTTAGGAAGGACACACGTATAGTCCTCGAAACTTTTGTCTAGTTCTGGAATCTTGTCGTTGCTTTTATAAACAGGAAAAATATGGATATCTTTGGCATTTTCTCTGGGTCCAGCAATACTGATCTGAGTCCTTGGAAGTGTAGGCCTGACTGTACCATGAGTCTGCACATTAGATTTCTAAAGGTAAGTTCAGATTCTAACATCATGCTGCTTGTTGAACTGTTTAACAAAAGGAATTATCAAATATTCAGGTAGAATCACCTTAAAAATAAAAATTCATACATATCTATAGCAATTAGAACATTAGAAAATGTTTTCTTCTACTGAGAAACAATCCTTGTTATGTCCAAAGAGCTGATCATTTCTAGGCCAAAAAAAAAAAAATCTAATAAATGCAATAGGAACAGTTATCATATACATGATAGCCTTAACAATGATTGGTAACAGTTTGAATCTGTGTCCCCACCAAATCTCATGTCAAACTGTAATCCCCAGTGTTGGAGGTGGGGCTTGGTGGGAGGCGATTAGACTGGGCAGGGTGGAGAGTCCCCCTGAATGGTTTAGCACCATCCCCTTGGTTCTATTCTTATGGCAGTAAGTTCTCGTGAAATCTGGTTATTTAAAAGTGTGTGGCACCTGCTCCCTCCTCTTCATCCTGCTCTGGCCATGTAAGATGTTCCTCTTCCCCTTCACTTTCTGCCATGATTATACATTTCCTGAGGCTTCCCCAGAAGCAATTGCCACTATTTTATCTGTACAGCCTATAGAACCATGAACCAATTAAGCCTCTTTTCTTTATAAATTACCCAGCCACAGATATTTCTTTACAGCAATGTGGGAATGGACTAATAAAGTGATTAAAGGCACTTTTCACCAGGTGTGTATGTATGTGTATGCCTGTGCTAAAAAAATGGTTTTTCACACACGTTCAAGTGGCTTTGTTTTATTGTCTGTGGGAACACTTTTGTAGATCACTTACAGGTATTTGAAACTGATTTGTCTTCTTCAAAACACTAACTGTGGAGTCCTAATTAGGGAAAGGGAGTCAGGCTGGCAGGAGCAGGGAAAAGCAGAAAGAAAAAGCAGATAAGCTATGAGTCTGCCTTTCCTCATGGTCCAGGACAGGTAGCCGTGCTGCACTGAACTTATCACTAGACACCTGCAAGTTAGCTCACTGCAACCTCAGCATTCTCAGTACATAAAGCCCTCTTCAGCAGATAGCACCATCCTGTAATATCCCCAGCAAGCCTTTGTCTTTTGCAGACAAGCCCCTTCTCTGCTGTGCTGCCTGGTGCAACCTTGCAATGTATTTTCATACCTTCTCTAATCTACCTACAACTGTCTTGGTAAATTCTTCTTACCCTCATACCACTGGCCCCAGATGGCTTGCTGCTCACTCACACTAACCCACCAAAACAGCTCTTCAGGAAAGAGTCTACACTTTTATATTTTATTTTTGAAGCAAGGTCTCACTCTGTCGCCCAGGCTGGAGTACAGGGGTGCAATCATGGCTCACCACAGCCTTGACCTCCTGGGCTCAGGTGATCCTCCCACCATAGCCTCCAGAGTAGCTAGCACTACAGGTTTGTACTACCATGCGCAGCTAACTTTTTTTTTTGTATCTTTAGTAGAGATGGGGTTTCACTGTTGGCCAGCTGGCCTCTAACTCCTGGCCTCAAGTAATCTGCTGGCTTCAGCCTCCCAAAGTGCTGGGATTACAGGAATGAGCCACCATGCCCAGCCTACACCTCTATTTTAAAGTCCATGCCACCGGGCGCAGTGGCTTCATGCCTGTAATCCCAGTGGCTCAGGAGGTTCAGGAAGGAGAATTGCTTGAACCTGGGAGGCAGAGGTTTTGGTTAGCCAAGATTGTGCCATTGCACTCTAGCCTGGGCAACAACAGTGAAACTCTCAAAAAAAATAATTAAAAAAAAAAAGTCTACATCATATGGTACTACTTGTGTCTTTTTTTGTTTTTGAGACAGTCATGGTCTGTCACCTGGGCTGGAGTGCAGTGGTGCTATCTTGGCTCACTGCAACCTCTGCCTCACAGGTTCAGCAATTCTTCTGCCTCCATCTCCCAAATAGCTGGGATTACAGACTTGCATTACCACGCCCATCTAAAATTTTTGGTAATTTTAGTAGAGACGGGGTTTCACTATGTTGGCCAGGCTGGTCTTGAACTCCTGGCCTCAAGTAATCTGCCCACCTTCATCTTTCAAAGTGCTGGGTTTTACAGGCATGAGCCACCACTGGCCTAGTTGTGTCTTAAGTCTTTTTGCGGTGGGGAGACAGTTTCGCTCTTATTGACTAGGCTGGAATGGAGTGCAATGGCACAATCTTGGTTCACTGCAACCTCCACCTCCTGGGTTCAAGCAATTCTCCTGCCTCAGCCTCCCAAGTAGCAGGGATTACAGGCATGCACCACCATGCCCAGCTAATGTAAAGATGGGGTTTCTCCATGTTGGTCAGGCTGGTTTCGAACTCCTGACCTCAGGTGATCTGCCTGCCTCGGCTCTCAAAGTGCTGGGATTACAAGCATGAGCCACTGCACCCGGCCAGTTTTTTTTTATTTGTTTCTGAGATGGAGTCTTGCTTTGTTACCAGGCTCTGGAGTGCAGTGGGGTGATCCCAGCTCACTGCAACCTCTGCCTCCCGGGTTCAACCTATTCTCCTGCCTCAGCCTCCCGAGTAGCTGGGACTACAGGCATGTGCCACCACCCCCAGCTAATTTTTGTTATTATTTATTTATTTATTTTTTAAGAGACGGAGTTTCACCCTTGTTACCCAGGCTAGAGTGCAATGGCGCGATCTTGGCTCACTGCAGCCTCCGCCTCCTGGGTTCAGGCAATTCTCCTGCCTCAGCCTCCCGAGTAGCTGGGATTATAGGCACGCGCCACCATGCCCAGCTCATTTTTTGTATCTTTAGTAGAGACGGGGTTTCACCATTTTGACCAGGATGGTCTCGAGCTCATGACCTCGTGATCCACCCGCCTCGGCCTCCCAAAGTGCTGGGATTACAGGCTTGAGCCACCGTGCCCAGCCATTTTTGTTATTTTGTTTCCCCATGTTGGTCAGGAGGGTCTCAATCTCTTGACCTCGTGATCCACCTGCCTCGGCCTCCCAAAGTGCTGGGATTATAGGCGTGAGCCACCATGCCTGGCCATGTCTTAAGTTTTGATGATAACTGATATTTTTTAAAAACTCACAACTTGAAATTGATACTTGATAAAGTCTGAATTAGAGGCAGCTTTATTTCTAGGCAATTTTAGCGTTAATGGGAAAATACTGGAAACTAAACACACTTTTGACTAATTTATATAGCCTTGCTACATATAAATTTATATGAGAAAATGATTAAGATAATCTTTTTTTACAAGTAAGACTTTTATGGGACATTTGCAGCTGATTTCAAATGTCAGATTATTTAATCACATCTGAATTCAAATTCTAAACTGTCTAAATTGTTTCTAATATGTAAGATCATTTCTTTATAAACATAGTACTCTTCCTCCCCTCCTTTTTGTTTCCATCCTGCTTTTTAGTTTTTAACTAGTAATGAGAAGAGGAAGAGGAGTTGTTACCAAAGAGCAAAGTCTAGTTCTCTGGACAATTTGCATGACAAATTTTTGTTCACTGTAATTAGAATTAGTTAAATAGATGTCATTTTCCTTAATGCTATTTACGTTTAGCTCATGGGAAAAAATGTTCTTGAGCACTGGGCACCTTTGAAAATATACAAGTTGAGTATCCCTAATCTGAAAATCTGACATCCAAAGTGTTTCAAAATCTAAAACTTTTTGGGTGCCAACATGATGCACAAAGAAAATACTCAGTGGAGATTTTTGGAGTTTGGACTTTTGGATGAGGGATAGTAAACTGGTAAGTATGATGCAAATATTCTGAAATGGAAACAAATCCAAAATCCTGAATACTTCTGGTCCCAACTCTGTGAGAACAAGACAGCAGGAGGTTAAACAAATTACCACACTTAGGTTGTTTCAAGAGAGAGAAAAGATAACAGGATCTTAATCCGTCTCAGACTTACTGGGGAGCAAATGCATTCATATTTGAGGATTTCTAAAATATTTAATTTGCCTCTTAAAAATGTTTTTAGTAAAAAAAAAAAAAACCAGGAAAGAGTGTGTGATGCAGCCTACATTTAGTAAATACAAGATGACTTTTCCTTGTACTGACATTTATTTTTAAATGGTATTGAACAAATAACATAAGTAGTTATTATAAATAAAATCTGAAAGATGCACAGGAAGCATGATGTTTCTGAATCCTTTTATTTTTTAAAGGACTTTTAAAATTTCAAACTACAAAACAGATTTCATACATTCTGCCATAAATAAAAACAAACAATAAGGCAGGACTCTACATAAGCAAACCAAGAACAATTGTTTTTCAGGAAATGTGACAAAATGCTTTACAATCATAAGCCATCCAGTTTTTAAAATAAAACTGTTGAAAAACTCACAAATCTTCAAGCGGCACATACAAGACACCCTTGAAGAGGGAACAAAATGTGGTTCTGCCATTTTGTACTGTTCTCACATTTTTGAAAACCTAAATTTTGCTTAGAGCATAGGTCTGTTCCATATTCTAAAATTCACACAGGTTGGTTTGTTTTTTCCCAAGAACCATATGATAGAGGCACCAATGACAATACAACTTTGTTTCCAAGAACCTTGTAACAAAGCGTTGTCTCTTTTAAACATACGACTTGAGGCAAAAAGGGAATCCTGGACAGGAGTTTTCTTGCAGAGGCGTTTTAAGCCCTACCGAATCCGCTTCTGCTGCCGTGCTCTGTAAATGTCATGAACAGGCGGGACAACGGCTCCCTTTTCTTCATCTTCATCTGAATCCTCATTGGGCCTTTTGACAGCCTTGGTGAGTACTGCATTACTTTCCACTGGGCCGTTGCCTTCTACAGCTAGCTCTGGGGCCCCACCGGTAATAATCCTCACAGCTTCCTCAACAGCTATTAAAACAACAAAATGTAAAAACATATTCCACTAGGAAAGGGTATGTATGTTCAGCTGTGGATACTTATAGTTCACTTCATAGCCTACTATTTTAGCAAAATATGGGATGGTACTACTGATGCTAAATAATTAAAGGAAAAGACAAAAGCACTAATAAAGTTATTTTCATAAGCCAAGTCTGATAGTGCATGTTCACCTGAATAGAAAAGATAAGCTTTTATGACATTTTACTTAGTGGAATTCAATATGAATAAGCCTCTCTCTGCCAGAGAGGGTTTGGATAACTCCTGGGTTTCAGTGCACTTCAAGTTGACTGGCTGTTTTTGTAAACTTAAGTGGCAAAGAATAACAGTGTCCTCCGCCTATGAGACAGCAATGTGGAATGACACTCTGAAATGGAGTTTCCGTTACTTACTATTTGGTATCTTGCATCTTCGGAAAATTTCCATCAGTTCGTCCACTTGTACAAAGGGACCCTATTTTGACATGAATAAATTTTAATCCCTAGTAATCTGATAAGTTGAAGTAGCAATAACTTTGTACAGTTACTGTAACCCACAGAGCCAGTATCTACCATGAAAATAATAAACAAACCTGGAAACAGATAGGAGGAGGGAGAAGTTTCATTAAAACAACAGCTGCAGGGGGGACTGGGAACACTCCACCAGGTACAGGATGTAAGCCTGGAGCTGTCAGAAAAAGAAAAGTATGAATCAAGTAGGATGGAAGAGTTTCTGCAAAGAGCTAAAATAATGTGACTTGCACATAAAGATCTTCCATGCTATGCTGCTTTGTTCTGGACATTTAAGTTGCTTCTAGTGATTTACGAAACCAAAGCAGTTGAGACAGTGAGAGCTGTCTCAACGCCATGGCCACGAGGAGGCAGAGAAGTACACAAGTGACTTTGTACAAGACCAGGGCTGAACTAAAGTCAATTTTTGTCAAAGACGTTTTCTGAGTTGCACAAGTCATTTGTTCAGCAATCCTGTTTCAAGTCAATTATTCAACAACATATTTAATCAGAAGGGCCTTGTTCAAAAATAATCTAGAGAGGCTACTAACTTGAGAAGAAGTTTGGCTCTTGTTGCCCAAGCTGGAGTGCAACGGCACGATCTTGGCTCACTGCAACCTCTGCCTCCCGGGTTTAAATAATTCTCCTGCCTCAGCCTCCCAAGTAGCTGAGATTACAGGCACTCACCACCATCCCCAGAAAATGTTTGTATTTTTAGCAGAGACAAGGTTTCACCATGTTGGCCAGGCTGGTCTTGAACTCCTGACCTCAGGTGATTCACCCGCCTCAGCCTCCCAAAGTGCTGGGATTACAGGCTGGGATTGAGCCACTGCGACCGGCCATAGCAGCATTTCTGAAAACCAAGTATCACTGCCAGATGGGTTCCTGGAATCTGGATCATTGAAGTTTTGTTTTTAGGACGTTCTTAGTTAATCTGGTTCAAAGATTAAAGCTAAGTTACTTGTCATAGTGACCCTAAGTTTAATAATTAACCCATAATTGAGAGGCAGTGTCACTTTACCCCCACACCTTGGATTTAAATCAACAAACAAATCGAGGTCTCAGTACTGGATCTAAAGTCATGGCTTACGTGCTAAATGTCGTGGCTGAAATGGAATCATCTGCTGAGTGTCTGGTTTAGGGTATTCTGGTTTTCTATCCACTTCATCTTTCAGAACAGGCACTATAGAAGGAGCTACAACTGGGTCTGGAATTATAGCTGCTAGCTTAGCACGGGAGACATCCTGAAAATGCAGAACAGAAGAATCCTAAACCTGAAAAAGGGACTAGTAGAGAATAATCGTGCAATTCATAACCTTGAGGATACACTGTGAATACCTGGGTTAAAACTACAGAAAGAAAATGGAGAGAGATAAGCAAGGACTTCAGTGATGGCAAAGATTAATAACAAGGAAAGCTATTTGGTTTTAAGACTCAGTGTATTATAACTTTACCCCAACACAAGTTAAAAGTTATTAAACTCAGTGTTGCCAGGTAGGACATTTGTAGAACAGATAAAAGCTTTTGTGTGTAGTCATAAGACTGGGAGAGGCTAGGATAATTTGGGGGAAAAGACAAGATTTTAGATCTTCTGACACCTCCCTTCCACTAGAATTGAACATTAGTTTCATCAAATAAAGAAGCTGGATTAAGTGATGTCCTGCTTTGTGACGGCATCACACTGCTTAAGATTTTGCTAATGCAATGAAAAATTATTTCCAATATACTATTTATTACAGGGGACAGGGAAAATTTATTGAGCAGAGACAATATTCATCAGGCAATTTTAGCCATTTATTCTCTCTTTGATGAGGCAAATAGTAACATCTCCATTTTACAGAAGGGACTAAAGCTCACAAAGTTTCTGTTATTTCCCAGGTCACATAGCTAATAAGAAGTAGAGAGAGGAGGACTGGGAGGCCACACCTCCCTGACCTCAAATCCATCCACAGTCTTCTTTTCAGTACACTAGCATTGCCCTGCCAGGGCTAAGAAAAGATATGCCAAAGGGAGCAATACAATGAACAGAGCAACACCTGTGAACAGAGGCCTATCCCAGAGGAGCTTCCCTGCCAGGCAACCCAGTGTCACTCAGTCTATCTAGAGCCAGAAGAACCCCTTTTTGCCACCACCGAGGGATATAAAAGCATTCCACTTTCTCAAAATTTGTTGAAATGCAGTTGGTGACATCTGGTATTAATTATATAAGCAAATCTAAATGTTAGGCACATTGGGTATCACCTTTTTTTTTTTTTTTGAGACGGAGTTTCGCTCCTGTTACCCAAGCTGGAGTGCAATGGCGCGATCTCGGCTCACTGCAACCTCCGCCTCCTGGGTTGAGGCAGTTCTCCTGCCTCAGCCTCCCGAGTAGCTGGGATTACAGGCTTGAGCCACCGTGCCCGGCCGGGTATCACTTTTTAAAAATCTCTCTCACACACATACATACACACCATACCATTGACCATACACGCAGAAGCACATTAATCCTTCCCCCAAAAATAAAAGAGCAGTAATATAAGATGGAAAACATCATATTCAGGAGGTAGTTCTACCTCCTGAATACTTACTATTTTCTTTTTTTTGAGACAGAGTCGCACACTGTCACCCAGGCTGGAGTGCAGTGGCATGATCTCAGCTCACTGCAATGTCTGCCTCCTGGGTTCAAGCAATTCTCCTGCCTTAACCTCCCAAGTAGCTGGGATTACAGGTGCCCACCACCACGCCTAATTTTTATATTTTAGTAGAGACAAGGTTTCACCATGTTGGCCAGGCTGATCTCAAACTTCTGACCTCAGGGGATCCACCTGCCCCAGCCTCCCAAAGTGCTGGGATTACAGGCGTGAGCCACTGAACCTGGCCACTATCTTCAAGTTTTACTTGAAAATAGTAAGATCTTTCTTTTCTTTCTTTCTTTTTTTTTTAAAGACTGGGTCATACTCTGGTTTCTCTTTAGATCATATAAATCTTTCATCTTTTACTAAAAGACAGGGTCTCACTCCATCACCCAGATAGGAGTGCAGTGGTGTGATCATGGTTCACTAAAGTAGCCTCAGCTTTCCTCCTCAGCCTCCCAAATAGCTGGGATCACAGGCAGGTGCCACCACAACTGGCTAATTTTTTTTTTTTTTTTTTTTTGGCAGAGATGGGATTTTATCATGTTTCCCAGGCTTGTCTTGAACTCCTGGGCTCAAGTGATCTGCCTGCCTCAACCTCCCAAAGTGCTGGGATATAGGCGTGAGCCACTGTGCCTGGCAGATCTTTATTTTCATTAACTTCATTAATTTTCATTTTCATCTTAGAAAAGTTGAAATAGCCTTTAGCGATTGCACAAGGTATAGTTAAGTCCCTCACGTAACATTGTTAATATGTTCTAGGAAAGTATAACTTTTAGACAAATGATGGGCTAGGTGGCTAGGTGTGGTGGCTCTTCCTGTACTCCCAGCACTTTGGGAGGCCAAGGCAAGTGGAATTCAAGCCTAGGAGTTTGAGGCCAGCCCAGGCAACATTGTGAAACCCCATCTCCACAAAAAAATACAAAAAGTAGCCAGGTTTGGTGGCATTCACCTGTAATCCCAACTACTTGGCAGGCTGAAACAGGAGATCACCTGAGCCCAGGGAGGTCGAGGCTGCAGTGAGCCCTGATCTCACCATTGCACTCCAGCCTGGGCTGGATGGACAGAGTGAGACCATCTCAAAAAAAAAAAAGAAAAAAGAAAAAAAGAGAGAGAGAGAGAAATGATGTATAGCAAAACCAATGTTTTTCTTAGCAAGGTTGTAATGAAACCACATTGAACACAAAAACATTATTTGAGGATCTGCTGTATATCATTTTGCTTAAAGTCAGAGTTTCCAGGAACCTATCAATGATGTTAAATGAGGATTTACTGCAGTAAAATATCTTTGACTTTTCATTGAGAAGTAGTTAAAATTAGAAGCAGAAACTACTTAACCCTGAGCAATAATCTTTTGGTTCATACTAGGAATTTGCGTCTGCCACAGAAATAGAGTTTACATTAACAAAAATATCTGAATATCAATTATGGGTAGTTTTTCTCAAAATATTTTATCTGGATCAGAAAGAGCAAGACCCAGGCTAAAAGAGAGCAGTGAGGAAAAGGAGAATGATGGTCAGGAACATCCTAATGCTGGCTGGCTTTAAGAGATCAACTGAGGACTTCTCTGTGAATTTCCATCTTAGTCTTTGTTCACATGTCACAGAAAGATCAAGAAATGATAGAACAGTGGTTTTCTCAGCAAGGGCTGTTTTGGGGCTTCATATATATTAATCCCTCCCTGAGGCCTGAACAGGTTCAGGTGCCAGATTTATTTTCTTATGACTCAGCAGTCTCTATAGAAGAGTTCCATTCATAGATGAGCTAATTCCTCTAAGGGCCACTGAAGGAGTGCCATTTTAAGAATACAGATCCCTCAAAGAACTTTATGGATTTAACAAGCTGTAATATTTCTTCATTGTATCTTACAAAATATGCAACAGGAACTACATTTGGTTTAAGATCTGTCAAAACATATTTATCAATTTGATAAGAACTATTAGAAAAAAAGTAATACCTAAGTTGACATTCAGATTTTCTTTTTTCTTCCTTCCACGCCCCCTCCATCTTGCCCACCAGATATAAGGCACTGACAATTTCAGAGACAGAATAAAGTATTAAATCCCATTTCATTCTCATCTGTTCAGCGACTTTGACACTCAGCATTTCTTTTAAACCCAAGGAAAATCTCTGAACTTTTTTCTTGCTTCCTGCAAATCTATTCTAAAACTAGATTAATTTACATTTCAGACTTTAGAGTGCAGGTTATCATTGAACTCTTCTAAAACACTGGAAAAGTGAGGACACTACACATCTTGATCCCAAGTACATACCTTATAACCAAGTGCTTTTAGTTCACTTGCAGAGCAAGGATATAAATCCATGAACTTGTATCTGTCTACTAGTAAAGCGGTTTCTTTGCCTTCATACTCTTCTTTGAATGCTGTAAACCGTCTTTTCTCCACCTTGAGTATACTAGCTAGATCACCAATATTACTTTCAAAAGCTAGAAATCGGGCCCATATTTCTCTGTAAGAAAAGAAATACAATCAATACTTTAATTATTCTGGGTTTAGGGCAGGGAGTTCATTTACAAAAATGCCTTAAGCGCTCCCTTTTCCCCTTAAGTTATAAAGAGTGATTTTTTATTATAAAGAGTTTTAAACTATAGAAAAATAGAATAGTATAATGAATACCTATATACCACTACCTATATTGCTAATATTTTGCCATATTTGCTTCATCTTATTTTTGCTTATCTCAAAGCAAATTATAAACCTATCACTTGAGTATTTAAGCCCATTTTTGAGTTTTTACTTATTTAGTATAGCTTCCTATTCTTTGTGGTCAAGATGAGAGACTTACCTTAGAGAGGGTACACTCTAGGTGGAGAAGTTGGAAAAGGAACCTAGACAAATTTCTAATTTCTCCTGAATAATGTGGCTTCATTGTTTTATTTAAGTGGCAGGAATTATAATGTAGAATACATTGTTCATCTAATATATGAATAAAAATATATTCCAAAATCTAATATGATTACTCTATTGTTTTCCATTAAGTGGATCACTGGGGACAAACTGGTACCTCATCATTGTTCTAACAGCTAAAATTAATGCTCTGTGACTACTTACATGTCACTAAGCACCTTTGTACTAAAGTAATATATTAAATGCCTCTTATATACCAGATATGTGGCTATCACAAAAATCCTACACTGGTAGACATTATTGTTAATAAGAAAGTGAGGCTTGGCAGAGCTATGAAATTTGCCATCTAGTTGGTTGAGCTGGATACTGAACCCAAGACTCCAAAGCCTTACTATAAAATTTCCACTGTACTGCTTCACAATGTTGTTCCTCTGTAAGGAACAACAAGTCAAAACCATAAATCACAGACATACTATGTAAAACAAACTTTGAATATGTAAGAGTCTTTGCTTTTGAGTAAGGGAGGTGAAAAACCATATATATATGGTTTTTTTCTTTTTCTTTTGAGATGGCTCGCACTGTCGCCCAGGCTGGAGAGCAGTGGCGCAATCTCGGCTCATTGCAATCTCCACTTCCTGGGTTCAAGCAGTTCTCCTGCCTCAGCCTCCTGAGTAGCTGGGACTACAGGTGTGTACCACCATGCCCAGCTAATTCTTTTTTTTTTTTTTTGAGACGGAGTTTCGCTCTTGTTACCCAGGCTGGAGTGCAATGGCGCCATGTCGGCTCACCACAACCTCCGCCTCCTGGGTTTAGGCAATTCTCCTGCCTCAGCCTCCTGAGTAGCTGGGATTACAGGCACACACCACCATGCCCAGCTAATTTTTTTGTATTTTAGTAGAGACGGGGTTTCACCATGTTGACCAGGATGGTCTCGATCTCTTGACCTCGTGATCCACCCACCTCGGCCTCCCAAAGTGCTGGGATTACAGGCTTGAGCCACCGCGCCCGGCATTCTTTTTTTTTTTTTAATTTGTAGTAGAGATGGAGTTTCATCATGTTGGCAAGGATGGTCTTGATCTCCTGACCTTGTGATCTGCCTGCCTCCTCCTCCCAAAGTGCTGGGATTACAGGCGTGAGCCACTGCGCCCGGCCTGCTTTTTTTCTTTGAGACAGGGTCTCACTCTGTCACCCAGGCTGGAGTGCAGTGGCGTGATCATAGCTCACTGAAGCCTCAACCTCCTGGGCTCAAGCAATCCTCCTGCTCCCACCTCAGCCTCCCAGTAGCTGGGACTACAGGCATGCACCACCACACCCAGCTAATTTTTAACATTTTTTGTATAGATCAGGTCTCACTATGTTGTCCAGGCTGGTCTCAAACTCCTGGGCTCAAACCTTGGCCTCCCAAAATGCTGGGATTACAGGCTGAGCCACTGTTTCTGGTTAGGGATATATAGTAAACAAGAAAGATGATAATAAATTGCTATGACATCTCTTAAAACAATTCTAATAACTGTTCAGAAATTTAAAAGTACTCCTAAGCAGGTGTAAAAGTATTGCTGGTAGGCAAAGTAAGTCTTGAGAAGGAAAGGAAATTCCTTCTGAAACTCACACTCAAGCAAACATTCACCCCATAGACCACAATTCAGGTAAGAAACCTGTCTTTAGAACCTGACCAATAGCTGTTCACAATGGCTTACCCAGACTTCTCAGGAGGAAGGCTTCCAGATGTTAAAACTCGTTCAAACAAAACTCGGGTATTATTGTCCTCTAGGATATTGAAAAAGATTTTAAATGTCTTTTTTAAAATTCACTTTTACAAAGCAACAATATTTTCACATGCATTATCTCACTTCATCCTTAAAAAAATCCTAAGCAGAAAGGTAACTACTATCACACTTGGTTTTTATAGATGAGGAAACTTGAGCTTCAGAAAGATTAAGGGATTTGATCTGGCTCTTGGTGATCGGGTAGCAGAGCAGTAACCGGAAGCCAGGTTTTCTTCCTTCTAGTTCAGCCCTCCTCTACTGCAGTTCTACTGCATAATCATTTATAACAGTGCTGCCTGAACCAGGTATCCCATTTGGTTTTTAAAAATAATGACAAGTACCTATCTGCTGATGTTAGTCAGACTACTAATATTTTTTAAATACATTGAATGTGGAAGGATGGCAAAATCAAACTTAAAAATAATTGAGTTTCTTATTTTGAGGCACCAGGACTATGCTATATTTAGCTACTTTAACTCTTGCAGAGGTCCAATATCTAAGTTGGTAGGTAAATACTGAAATGGAAATGAATTAAGAATGATTGACAGAGGTATATTAAATTTTAAGAGTCTTAGGAGGTCCTCTGTAGCTGGAAGTGGGAAGATGACACTTCTTGCTAAACTCTAAGGAATCTTTTATTACTTAAGAATCCAACAGTAACAACAACCATTGAATCCATTACTAACAACCACTGAATTGTACACCTAATGGATGCACTTATGGCATATAAATTATACTTCAATAAAGCTGTTCAAAAGAAAAATTAACCCAGCAGAGGAGTTTTTTTTTAAATTGCCTGGGGGTATTCAGTTTATCATGTCTATATGCAAAATAAAAATCCTATTTTTTAAATTTAAAAACTAAACATATTAGAGCAAAGAAGATAGTACTATTTTTGTGACTTCTATCTTCAATTTGACATATTATACTTTTAAAAATGATCTTATGTTTTATCTTTTTCTGTTTTATCCCAAGCTTTGGTCCAGACACATGTTTTACCATTCCACAGAACTTTTACACTGCCTGCTATGCTCTCTGCCCAGAATAATGCATTTTTCTGTTTCTTTAGCTGGCTAACTACCGCTCATCTCTCAAAATTCAACTCATGTGCCTTTCTCTATGACACCCTCTAGAACACTGTTGTCCATCAGCAATATAATACAAACCACATATGGAATTTAATAAAAAGTGTAAAATCAGGTAAAATTAATATATTTAAGTTAACCTAATGTATCTAAATCTTATTTCCACATGTAATCAATATGAAAAATGTTAAGATAGTTTACATTTTTTTGTGCTAAGTCTTTGAAATGTGGTATGTATTTATACTTATACCACAACTCATTTCAGCCTAGGAACATTTCAAGTGTTCAATACCTAATAGTCTAGTGACTACCATAATTGTGCAGCATAGCTCTATAACTTAGATATACTCTCTTCTCTGTGCTTCTATAGTACTTCATTCAGGAATCTATTAGAGTATTTGGCATATTTTTAATGATTACCACCCTCATCATAAATAGTTAACATTTATGGAATAACTACAACATTCTATATATAAGTGAAACACATGCAAAAACTCATTTAGCCTCTCAACAATCCTATGAAATGTATTCTTATTATGACTTCAGTTACCTCTGCAGATGAGAAAATTGAAGTTTACGATTACACACCTAACCTCAGAACTATGATATAATGAACCATCAAATGATGATGCAATTATATTTACACATTGGATTCCCCCACAAAAAAATGTTCTGGTGAATCCTATTCATCTTGGTATTCCCAGACCCTAGTAACCAGAAGGTAATGAGTAAATGTTTCATGGATGGATAGATGAATGAATGAATTATCTAAGCACTGATTTTGGAAGACAATAATGCTAACATCATATATCATCTTCATTTTTAAAAACTAATAAAAATACTTATATTAGTAGCTATTCTAAAAATTAGGCAAAACAAGATTGAAAGAAATATTAAATGCCCCACTATTTCATTTTTTGGAGTTAACTCTTTTCCCAGAATGTAGAATCATTAAGCTAAAATACAAAGTCATGTATTAAAATGATTGATTTCTAACTATAATACCTAATCCTATAATCATTTACATGACACATAATTGCATATTTCTTTCTTAAGCCAACTTTTAGTGATTATTTATTATTTATTTATTTTATTATTATTTTTGATACTAAGTTTTGCTCTTGTTACCCAGGCTGGAGTGCAATGGCGCAATCTCAGCTCACTGCAGCCTCTGCCTCCAGGATTCAAGCAATTCTCCTGCCTCAGCCTTCCCAGTAGCTGGAATTACAGGCGCCTGCCACCACATCCAGCTAATTTTTTGTATTTTTAGTAGAGACAGAGTTTTGCCATGTTGGCCAGGCTGGTGTCAAACTCCTGGCCTCAGGTGATCTGCCCTCCTCAGCCTCCCAAAGTGCTGGGATTACAGACGTGATCCACCACGCCCAACCTATTCATTTATTTTTAAATGGTTTTTAGAGACAGGATCTTGCTCTGTCAGCCAGACTGGATGGAGTACAGTGGCGTGTGATCACAGCTCACTGCGACCTCCAACTCCTGCGCTCAAGTGATCCTTCCAAGTATCCAAGACTACAGGCATATGCCACCACACCTAGCTAAAAAACCAATTTTTATACTACATCTTTTTTTGTTAAGAAATTACATATTATGAGGCCGGGCACTGTGGCTCCTGCCTGTAATCATAGCACTTTGGGAGGCCAAGTAGGGCAGATCACCTGAGGTCAGGAGTTCAAGACCAGCCTGACCAACATGGAGAAACTCTGTCTCTACTAAAAATACAAAAATAAGCTGGGTGTGGTGGCACATGCCTGTAATCCCAGTTACTCCAGAGGCTGAGGCAGGAGAATCACTTCAACCTGGGAGGTAAAGGAGACCGCACCACTGCACTCCAGACCAGGCAAGAGTGAAACTCTGTATCAAAAAAAAAAAAAAATTACATATTGTGGACTGTAGTAAATTAGACTAAATGATATACATAGATGAATTACCTAGCACAGTGCCTGGTACATGGTAGGAACTCAATAAAGGATGGCCAGTATTATTCTTACAACAGAATAGGGAAATAAATACTAAAAACCATAATGTTTCTTTTTGAATCTTTCCCCCAGTAGCCTACTGTTTTCCTTTACCATTTGGGCATCTTTGGGTTTGAGTTTTGGTTGCTAGAGAGTTTTTTTTGTTGTTGTTTGTTTGTTTTTGGTTTGTTTTGCTCTGAGGAAACAAGACATGATTTGCCCAGAGTCATCAGAGATGAATATAAACAACTCTATGTCTCCTAACTCTAACTTTGTAGGTTTATCCCACTACTGATGGTACTTTACTAAATAAAAACAGTTCTGCAGAGTCAAAAAGTAACTACCATTGCTCTGTAAATATATTCATGGTTGATATGACACAAGTATTTCTTGAGTGCCTATCAAGTCTGCTATGATGTCAAAATTATAATACATTCAAGAAGGAAAAACTCAAGCACCATAATTTCAGATGGTTTAATGTTAAGTAATCATTATAGATTCTAGAATCAACCTACCATTGAGGTGAGAAAGATAGTCAATATAGGCCAGGACATACTCTGGAATATCTCCATACTTTTTTAGCCCCAGCTCAAAAATCTTAAAGGCAACAGATTTGTCCTACAAGTAAAGAAAGTAAAGTACTGATTTCCATGTAATGTCAGATAAAATACTTATAAGAATATTAAAATTATACCTAAATAAGACCAAATAAATAAGAATTAAAGCAGAAATTAAAATCATGTTAAGTAAAAATTGCTGAGCTAAAAACTATTTAAAGGAGTTTAGGCTCAGAAATGTGGTGATTAATAAGGCATGAAAAGCAGGCAGTTGGGGATTTGGATGATGCTCTGTGTAATTTTACACATATACACTTAGGCTGTCTTTAAAAATGGAGCAATAAAATCTTAATGACAGAAACTAAGACCACCTTTCTTTTACAAGTCTCAGATGATGGAAGTTGTTTTACCTTTACACTTGTATTTCAGTATTTACCTTACTACAGTAATACTCCATGAGTGCTGCAGTAACATAGACATGGTGGCGGGTTCTGGTATCTTCTCTTGCTTTTTTAAATATCATTCTTCCAGATTTGATGCCTTCTGCTCTCCGTGCAAATTTCATATATTGGATATATACCTATGCAAAAAAAAAAAGTATTTGTGTTTTACAAATTAGGCAGTATGTTTCCTGTATAAAAAAGTAATCCTCAATACCCAAGAAATTAGAAAGTAGGAATTTAGATAACATGCTATTTAAATCCACAAGCTAATTTTTCTGATATTAGATATTAGAGATGTAAGCAAATTAATTTGCTATTGTTTTTTATTGAGATATAATTCACATACCACAAAATTCACCCTTTACAATTCAGTGGGTTTTTGTTGTTATTGTTGTTGTAGTTTTTAAAGACGGGGTTTCACCATGTTGGTCAGGCTGGTCTTGAACTCCCGACCTCAGGTGATCCACCCGTCTTGGCCTCCAAAGTGCTTGGATTACAGGTGTGAGCCACCATGCCCAGCCCTACAATTCAGTGGTTTTAAATATATTCACAAAGTTGTGCAATCATCACCACTAATTCTAAAATTAAAGGTTAAGAGGAAAAGTGTGAAACTACTAGAACATACTCCACTAATGAATGCCAATATCTAAAAGTCTCGAGAGTTAATTTAATACAAGCATGTTTGCAATACATGTTTAACTTCTCATTTTCTTGGTTTGTATTTATTTATTTTTTTAATTAATTTATTTTTTGAGACGGAGTCTCACTCTTGTTGCCCAGGCTGGAGTGCAGTGGCGCAATATTGGCCCACTGCAACCTCTGCCTCTTAGTTTCAAGCAATTCTCCCGTCTCAGCCTCCCAAGTAGCTGAGATTACAGGTACCCGCCACTACACCTGGCTAATTTTTGTATTTTAGTAGAGACAGAGTTTCACCATGTTGGTCAGGCTGGTCTCAAACTCCTGACCTCAGGTGATCCTCCCGCCTCTGCCTCCCCAAGTGTTGGGATTACAGGCGTGAGCCACCTCGCCCAGCCTTGGTTTATTTTTAAAAGCCCACTATTCTATTTTCTAAACAACATATAATGGAACTTCATGGATAAACAATGAGCCATTTTATACCCAGCACCTATGAGTGTCTTAACATATCGTGAGTAAGCAGTATTTGTTTAATGAACAAATGACTATTAGTAGGGTCCTGGTTTGTCCAGTTTTGATAGATTGATAAATGGATGGATGAATGAACTATGAGTTCCTCAAGAAAAGGAGTTTTATCTAGTTTGTCATTATGTTGCTGAAGTCTAGCACAACGCATAGACTCCAGCAATATTTTTGCTAGATACGTTTGTGGAAAGAATTATAATAATAAATGTAGGAACTAGAGCAGTGGAATCCCAATATAAATCAGTAACAAAAAAAAGTAGTGTAGCTATAATTGACTGGAGGCAGAGGGTCTAGACACACCCACAAGCCTGTCCCCTTCCTCTGCCAATGGCAAAGCACCACTGCACTTTTGCACTCAGGACTTTGAAAACCACTATGATAGAATAGGATTTAGAATAAAGTGATTTTCAGTCTAATTTCTTCCCAGGATATTGGTTGTAATCCCAGCACTTTGGGAGGCCAAGGCGGGTAGATCATGGTATCAGGAGATTGAGATCATCCTGGCTAACATGGTGAAACCCCCTCTCTACTAAAAATACAAAAAATTAGCCAGGCATGGTGGCACTCACCTGTAATCCCAGCTACTCAGGGGCTGAGGAAGGAGAATCACTTGAACCCAGAAGGTGGAGGTTGCAGTGAGCCTAGATTGTGCCACTGCCCTCCAGCCTGGGCGATAGAGTGAGACTCTGTCTCAAAAAAAATAAAATTAAATAAATAAATGAAAAGAAAAAATTCTAACAGAAGACAGATCAGCAAATGTCAGAGATAAGGGCAGAGAGAAGGGTTATATCTACAAAGAAGTCACATGAGAGAATTTTTGAGGGATGATGGAGATGTTTTCTATCTTAATTGTGGTGATGATCCCATGACTCAATGTTATTTGTCAAGATTCCGAGAACTATACAACAAAAACAGTGAATTTTACTGTATATACACTTAAATTGTTTTTTGTTAGATAAGAATGTAAAGGAGGAAAACAGATGTGTAAAGTTACTCACCAAGGTGGGGTCAATATCCTCAATTGCCAGAAGTCGGTTATATATACTATGAACCTTTTCATACTTCATGCGACTCTAAGGTGGTAGAGAAGAAGTGAATATTAACATGTGGTCATAAATAAGCAGGATTTGAACTCTAAGGAATCCAAAGGCTATAATCCCCCACGTCTAATGGCATCTCCACTGAGCATAAATATAGTATAAGCTGATAACAAATAACTGTTCATTTGGAATTATCTCTGTCTACCAAAAGCAATATGCCTGGCAAAAAAGCAGCAAGAAGAAATGTTCAGTCCTGCAGTAAAAAATTGAATTATAAGAAGGCTCTAAATATTTTTACTTACCTCTTCATAATCTGCATATGCAAAATAAAGAAGCATATTCTTCTTCAATAAAGTGCTTATGGCTCTTTCATATATATTAGCAGCTTCATCACTAAATAATTTGGCATTATTCATATCCTAGGAGAAAAAAAAGCTCATCATCAATTTTAATATAATTGTGAGAGAATAAAATTAATAGTTATATCTACTTTATTTTATTTATATGTGTCTAAGAAAGCACACATGTATGCACACACATATATGTATTTACACACATACATACATGCACACATATGCATTTCTGGATTCTAAAAAAATTCTAAAGATTCCTTTCATTATTTTAGCTTAAAAAATAATCATGCAAGTACTCTAAATGATTCATCACTTTAATACATTAAAAAACAGCCAGTTTACTTTAATTGACTAAGGAGGTCTAATTATATGAGTGTCACTAAGATTCATATTAATGTAAGCTTAAAATTTTTAACACTTATTCTTTATTACCAAAATTCAGTTATGTTTTTCAGTAAATCATTGCTATATCAAAACCACAAAAATATCAAAGTGGGGATAGGAAAGGAACACTTACTCCCTTTTCTGCAAGCAGTTTACTTGACTGCTCAAGATACTGGGCAGCTTCATACCAAATATCAGGGTGATGGCCCAGCACAAGCAGGCACTGTTCATAAGCAAACATAACTAAGGGAAGAAATTAACAAACAACATTCAATTAAAATAAGTATTATTTGTAAAACTATCAATGTAAGTATCATAACCAAATTAGGATCCTCAAAAATTAATGATGATTAGAAATAAAAAGCTTTAGTGATTTCTGGCACCATCATCCATCTAAGCTCCATCTATCTATTACTTTTTTTTTTTTTTTTTTGGAAGCAGGGTCTCTGTCATGTAGCCTGGCATGCAGTAGCACAAATATGGTACACTGCAGCCTCGACCTCCTGCGCTCAAGTGATTTTCCTGCCCCAGCCTCCTGAGTAGCTGGGACCAGGTGTACACCACCAAATCTGGCTTGTTTTAAAAAATATTTTATAGAGGCCAGGCGTGGTGGCTCATGCTTGTAATCCCAGCACTTTAGGAGGCTGAGGTGGGTGGATCACGAGGTCAGGAGATTGAGATCAGCCTGTCTGATATGGTGAAACCCCATTTCTACTAAAAAATACAAAAATTAGCTGGGCATGGTGGTGCATGACTATAGTCCCAGCTGCTTGGGAGGCTGAGGCAGGAGAATCTCTTGAACCTGGGAGATGGAGGTTGCAGTGAGACGAGATGGTGCCACTGCACTCCAGCCTAGATGACAGAGTGAGTAAACAAACACTCCGTCTAAAAAAAAAAATTTATAGAGACAAGGTCTCACCATGTTACCCAGGCTTGTCTAGAACTCCTGGGCTCAAGCAATCCTCCCATCTTAGCCTCCCAAAGTGCAGCCAGCCTAAATTAATATTTATTGAGCATCAACTATATGCCAGTGAATGTGAAAGGTACTGTGAATATACAAGTGAATAAGACTTCCTATATTCAAGAAGTGTACAGTATATGGGGAAGATAGACACTAAGAAAGCAAAGATCAAAAGTATTATGATGATGAAAGTACAGTATCCTCTTAAAACTTACAGCAGCAGGACTTAACATAGTTTAGGGACTCAAGAAAGGCTTCACTAAGGAACTGAGATCTAATACAACTGAAGAAGGGATGAAGTTGGTCAGAGAAAAATAAGTAAAGTGGAGTAAGGATGGGGTAGATATAAAAATGGAGTAGGCAAAAGAAACAATATTTCCAAAGACCTACAAGTAAGACAGCAAGGCAAGACTGAGGAATTCTATAAAGGGCCAAATTACAGTCTGTCAGTGGCAGAGTAATTTGTACCAGACCAACCATCAGCAAGTAAAAATTATAAACAAACAAAAATACAAAAGCAACTATTTAAAGTTACTGGAAATGACCAAAAGAAGCAGAAATCAGAGATTGAGCCCTTAAAAAGACAGAATAACACTAGATGAGATCCATATTTAATATGGCTTTTCCCTTCAAGCACATGCTCATGTTGTGCACTTCTGGGATAGCTAGAACTCAAGTCAAATGCTGCAGTCTTACTGTCTTGAAGTGACATGGAGCTCTGGCCTATGAGAGCAGCTGGAAATTGAGGGGAGACATCCCCAAAAAGAGAAAGCCAGAGCCTGAAAATCTGGACATAAATGTTCTCAAATCCTCAGCTGATCCCTAAAATGTACATACATAGGAAAGAATACAAACAGCCCAGTAGAAAACAAAACTGGAAGGTGGAAAGAGTTGAATAGATACCTCAGCAACTAACTAAGGGAAATGAAGTTTAGAATTTGAGTCCCATCCAATTAGATGATCAAGGTAGACACCTTAGACTTTTCATTATGTCTTAGGAGTAAAGACTATGTTCCAAGAATAAGGTATTTACTCTCAGATTAAGGGTAAAACTAAAACAGATCTGTCTTCATAGTATAAAACCAAGCCTCCACAAAGTCCAAGTAATCTGACAGTAATTTAACTTCCTGCTAAAATAAAACAACATTCTTCAGAGGAAGATAACAGAATCCAGAGTCTTTACAATGTATCATCTACACATTTGTACAATATCTAAAGGAAAAAATTTAAACAGGAAACAAGAAAATGTAAACCATAATCAAGAGAAAAAGCAATCAGAGAAAATAAACTCCCTGATGGTTAATGGCCCAAATGTTGGAACTGGCAGACGAGGACTTTATAACTACTGTTACAAATATGTTCAAAGATATAAACAAAAAGATGGTAATGAACACACAAGGACTCTCAACTAAGAAATGGAAACCAAAAAAATGAACTATAAAAAATAAAACATTTCTGCTAGGCACAGTGGCTCACACCTGTAATCTCAGTACTTTGGGAGGCCGAGGCAGGCAAATCCCCTGAGGTCCGGAGTTCGAGACCAGCCTGACCAACATGGATACACCCCGTCTCTACTAAAAAAATACAAAATTAGCTGCGCATGGTGGCACATGTCTGTAATCTCAGTTATTCTGGAGGCCGAGGCAAGAGAATCGCTTGAACCTGGGAGGCAGAGGTTGCCGTGAGCTGAGATTGCATCATTGCACTCCAGCCTGGGCAACAAGAGTGAAACTCTGTCTCAAAAAAAAAAAAAAAAAAAAAAAAAAAATAATAGGCCAGGAGGGTAGCTCATGCCTGTAATTCCAGCACTTTGGGAGGCTGAGGCAGGTGGATCAGGTCAGGAGTTAAAGTCTAGCCTGGCCAATATGGTGAAACCCTGCTTCTACTAAAAATACAAAAGTAGCTGGGCATGGTACTGGGCACCTGTAGGCCCAGCTACTCAGGAGGCTGAGGCAGAAGAATTGCTTGAACCCAGGAGGCGGAGGTTGCAGTGAGCCAAGATCGTGCCACTGCACGCCAGCCTGGGCAACAGAGTGAGACTTGGTCTCAAAAATAAAAAAATAATAATTTATAAAATGGAAATTTATAGAACTGAAAAATAAAGTATTTGAAATAAATAATTCACTGGATGGGCTTAATCACAGACTGCATATGATGAAAACAAAGGTTCAGTGAACATGGAGATAGATCTTTAAGAATTATTGAATCTGAAGAAGGAAAAAAAGATTAGGTGTAAAAAAGTTTCAGTAAAAGTTTCAGTAACCTATGGGGATAGCAAGTGGCCTAACATACATATAACTGAAGTCCCATGAGGGTTAATCTTGTTACCTCTTTTTGTTATAAGGGTCTGATCCTCTGTACGAAGAGGGTTGCTCTTTTCCCACTGTATATATTTCTTCCACATATCTACTTGTTGAGCTTCTTGAGGAGTATTCTGAGGAGGCACTGAGGGAGCATTGCGGTCCAAGCCTTTCATTACTGTCTCATATTCCTAGACAACAACCATTTAGAATTCTTTGGTGAGCCAGGAACAACCCAGATATATGAGGGATGGGGTAGATCAGTTTGGAAGACTATGTTCAAAATGCCTACATTTTCCAAATACTATTTTGTTAATATAATCTAAAAACTATTTAAGAGTAGAGAAAAAGATAAGAGTATTACCCACTCAAGAACAGATTCCCAGAATTGGGTGAGCAAAACACCCATGGGTCCTCTCTAGGAGGACCTAAGTGATCTAGGAGGTTACTTTCTAAGATGTAAGAGTTGACAGATCAATAGGACTGAAGATCTGGTGGCAGTATTATTTCCATCCTTGGAGAAACTATCTGTCTGTTAAAATTTCAATAGTTTGTATTAATGGGCTATTTTTCCTAATTTCTAAGAGTGTCAATGAATGGAAAGGTATGCACACAATCAAAATGTGTCCCTGAGAGCTATGTTATTAGACCACAGAGTAATACAACGTTCAGATGAACCCAAACAAGAGAGGGAAAAGAATTACTTCATCAATTCTAGGTAGAGCCTTGTCTTTATGTCCTCTGTTTCCATATTTTAAAAAATAATTTATTCTAAACTCAATTTATTATATTTTGTTCTTACAAAGAGATATTTCAAATATATCATCTCAGATTTTGCAATTAATTGCTGTTACTTAAGATTGCTAATGATTGAAAATATCAAGAGTAATACCAGACAGGGAAAGCTCTGCTGTAAAAAACAGACTCAAAATAATCATTAAATAAAGGCCTGATGGAATTCCATACCTTTGCTACACGTCTAGCATTCATATAATCTCTACTCCGATCTTCAATCATTTTTTTAGCTAAATGAATATTGATACCCTAGAAAAAGCAAAAATATTTTAAAATTTAGTATCTTAAAAATTATACAATACAGTTAATTTATTCATTTATTAAGTAACTTTAAATTCTTTATTTTAAAAGATTTCTTGTTAAATAAAGGTTCATACAGCTCATGAAAAGCAAGAAAAAATAAAAATAAAGGTTCAATCACATTATACATTTCAAAGATCAAGGAGGGTGTGCTTATGTCTATTATGAGCTGGCAGTAAGTTTCCATTTATCGGGAACTTTTAAAGATAGAATCATTTGAAAAGGGTCAACTATTTCATATAAGATTCTACTAAAAATAATTGACATGGCTCATGCCTGTAATCCTAGCACTTTGGAAGGCTGAGGCAGGTGGATCATTGAGGTCAGGAATTCAAGATCAGCCTGCCCAACATGGTGAAACTCTGTTTCTACTAAAAATACAAAAAAATTAGCTGGATATGGTGGCATGTGCCTGTAAGGGAGACTTGGGCAGGAGAATTGCTTAAACCAGGGAGGTGGAGGTCACAGTGAGTCAAGATTGTGCCATTGAGCTCCAGCCTGGGCGACAGAACAAGAGTTAAAAAACAAACAAACAAAAAAGACATACAGATTCATCTAGGTGAACAGCCATGGCTTGACTTTGATAGCCCTTTTCTTTTTCTTTTTTATAGACAGAGTCTTCCTTTGTCACCCAGGCTAGAATGCAGTGGCACCATCCTAACCCACTGGAACGTTGAACTCCTGGGCTCAAGTAATCCTCCTGCCTCAGCTTCCTAACATAGGACTACAGGTGTGCACTGCCACACAAGACTAATTTAAAAAAACTGTTTTTTGTTTTGCAGAGATGTAGTCTTGCTATGTTGCCTGGGCTGGCCTCAAACTCCTGGCCTCAGACAATCCTCCTCTTCAGCCTCCCAAAGTGCTGGGATTATAGGCGTGAGCTACCATACCTGGCTAATAGCCCTTTTCTAACTAGTTCTGTTGTATAACACTTTTTAAAAAGACAAACAGAAGTAGCAAGGAAAGATAAACATTACCACTCAGTGAGTATTCCAAGGATTCTGAGACCCTTTCAGAGAGTTCATGAAATCAAAATAGCTTTCAATGTAATATAAGACATTATTTGCCTCTCTCACAAAAATAAAGGAGTTTTCGAGAGGCTACATGACATTCAGTATTATAACACATTGAATGGAAGCAGATATGAAAATCCAGCTGTTTCATATTAAACTATATATGAAAGAAATTTGTGAAAATATAAAAAACAATGCCATTCTTCTCACTACATTTTTTTGTTTTGGAAAATACAGCTTTTGGCCAGGTGTGGTGGCTCATGCCTGTAATCCCAACATTTTGGGAGGCCAAGGCGGGTAAACTGCTTGAGCTCAGGAGTTCAAGGCCAGCCTGGGCAACATGGAGAAATCCCATCTCTACTAAAAAATTAGCTTGGGAGTGGTGGCATATGCATGTAGACTCAGCTACCTAGGAGGCTACATACATGACCTGAGCCCAGGAAGTCGATCAAGCCTGCAATGAGCTGTGATTGTGCCACTGCACTCCAACCTGGGTGACAGAGTAAGACCCTATCTCTTAAAAAAAAAAAAAAAAAAATTCTTTGTGGTCTTCAATCATTTTTAAAATCCCAAAACCATAAAGTTTGAGAACCACAGCTAATGCCTGTGAGGGAACAATTTCACTCCCCTGTACAGTTATTCCAAATCACAATATACATATAAGGAACCTTTTTTTTTTAATCTTTAGAGACAGGGTCTTGCCATCTTGTCCAGGCTGGTCTCGAACTCCTGGACTCAGGCAATCCTTCTACCTCGGCATCCCAAAGTGCTGGGATTACAAGTGTAAGCCACCACACCCAGTCAAGGAACTTTCTTTTAATGCTAGAGTTTATTTGGCATGTATATTTGTGTATTCAGATTGATTAGTCAGTTATTAAAAGCAGATCCCAATAATACAAAGATCTTGGATTGCAGCCACACACCTCACAGATTCAAACCAATAATCACATCACTGTAATCAGGTGAAGGAGGTGCATTGCAACTGAAAAATAATTCCCAAAAGTTACTACTGGAAAAATAATTCCCAGAAGATACTGTTTTATAGAAAGTCAATGACAATGTGTATGTGTGTGTATGAATGTGTGGATGTGGCTTAGCATAGAATAAAAAGTTTTATAAGAACTATTGTTCTTCAGAGTATCCTCTAAAAAAAACACTAATATGAAGACTCTCAAAACCTTGCAAAAACATTATAGTGCTTTCATTACAATCAATAAAAAAAAATGTGTAACACTGATATCCAGGAATGTGATGCTAGAAAGGCTATAATCTACAAATCCACCATGCAAAAAAATTAAAATGGCTTAGTTAATAATAAACAACTACTCTGAGGTAATTTACCTCTTCATACTTGTTATAGTCTCTCCAGAGTTGTTCAATGTTGATCATGGGATTAACACAACCCCTTTGATAAACTCTTCGGACAGCTGTTATTCTTTGATTTTCTGCATAAGATCCTACAGCTTCCCTGAAATTGGGTAAGAAATGTCATAAACTGTATTATAGCTGAATCCAATTCAACCCATCAATCTCACTACTGAATATCCACCCAAATAACAGCTCTATGGAAAATAGTATGGAGATTTCTCAAAGAACTAAAAATTATATTTTAGCTAAATCAACTGTTTATCATTTTTAAAAAACTAGAAAAATACTTACACGCCTTTTAGGAAATTGATGTAATCCACCCAAATCTAAGAAATGAAATAAAAATGTTAATATCTTTCTTGGTATTTGCACATTTAAATGCCTATATTAAAAAATTTTAACTCTACCTGATAGGACATAATTTCCATTCCAATTTTATCCAGTGCAAAGTCATATGCTTGAGCCATTTTTTCTCTGAAATGAACATGAAAGAGACGTTTTTAACATTTTTTTGTTATTAAAATTTATCTATGATTAGGCCAGACTTGGTGGCGCATGCCTGTAATCCCAGTGCTTTGGAAGACCAAGGCAGAAAGATCACTTGAGACCAGGAGTTTAAGACCTCTGTGCAACACAGAGAAACCGAATCTCTAAAAAAACAAAAATTTAAAAAATTAGCTGGGTGCGGTGGTGTGCAACTGCAGTCCCAGTTACTCAGAAGGCTGAGGTGGGAGGATTGCTTAAACCCAGGATTTCAAGGTTACAGTGAGTTATGAATAAACCACTGCACTCCAGCCTGGGTGACAGAGTAAGACCTTGTCTCTAAAAAAATTGTAAATGAAATATTTGAAGGTAGGTGTGGTGGCTCACTCCTATAATCCCAATGCTTTGGGAGGCTAAGGCAGGAGGATCATCAGAGGTCAGGAGTTGAAGACAAGCCTGGGCAACACTGTGAGACCTTGCCTCTAAAAAAAAAAATAAGTAAATAAATAATAAATGTATTTATAACTAAAATGTAGCTTCTGATCACAGGATCAGAACAACATTTGAACATTCTCTATAAACAAAACTTAGAGACGTCTTTTTAAGTATATAAAGTCATTCTTTGATGTTAAGCTTGTCAGTATCATAAATTGTTTCCTTTACTGCTTATGAGCTTATCAAAGATAAGGCTCATGTCTTACTTTATATCCTTTAAGTTGCATAATTCTATATGTAGAAGATTCAAATGTGGAAATTTGTGGTTCTCTCATTCATGAGATATATTAAGTCTGAAGATCTATTAGCTCTAAAGTGTAGATATCTGTAAAGTATAGTTTTATTGAAATGCTACTTATGTTAAAATGTAAAGGGTATATCAGGGAGAAAGAACTTGCACTTCAATATAAGACAGTAAAGTATAAACAAGGCCAGGAATGGTGGTTTATGCCTGTAATCCCAGCATTTAGGGAGGCTGAGGCAGGAGAATTGCTGAAGTGTAGTAATTTGAGTCCAGCCTAGGCATGTTGGCTTACCCTTGAGACCCTGCTATGTTTGGGGTCTCAAACATAAAGAGACCCCATCTCTACAAAAAAAAACCAAAAACAAAAACAAAAATCTGCCAGGTGTGGTGGCTCATTCCCATAGTCCCAGCTACTTGGAAGGCCGAGGCAGGAAGATCACCTGAGCCCAGGAGGTTGAGGTTATAGTTGTGCCACTGCACTCCAGCCTATACAACAGAGCTGAGACCCTGTTTCAAAACACAAAATAATAACAAACAGAATAATCAGGAAAAGACAATAAGGATAGAATATTAGTAATAGACATAACTTGCCTGTTAAGTTATGTACAAAAATAGTACCTCAGAAGGTCCATTATTTAGATTCAGCACAGATGGGGAGGTGGGTATAAGTCAGAGTGGGGATGGCAACTTCACAATACAATTGTCAGAGACCCCTTAGATCACTTAAGTAGCACAGTGCATTGTGACCACCCAAAGTAGTACTAGCACAAGTATGAAGATGCTTTTTGAGAAAGTTTGACAAGCCTGCCAACAAAGTAGTTTGGTGTTGCAAATACACAGTGTTTCAGTATAGAAAGGGCTTGGGCGATTTCAATTGTCCAGAGTAGGACTCATGCCAGTGACTTTCTTTGAAGCACTTTTTTCAACTTTACTAATTTCTTAGGAAATCCTAAGGATTTGACTTTTCAAATCCTGACATTTCTTCCCACCTGGAGCTAATAGAAGGTGTGAGTTTATGTGGGATCGAATGTGTGCCTGGAGATGACTTGCATTCTTAAGATCCTGATTTCACTTACTTGTAACTTGGTAGTTTACCCTTGGTTTCTCGGACATATGAAAGATAACACTTCCATAAATCAATGTGCAAAACCTTCATAAGGCATCTCTGAAATAGCTTTAAATACAAGAATATATTATCAGAATCCAGTTAAATACATTTCACATGGACATAGATGAAATGGAAAATCAAAAACACAAATTTGTCTCCCTTTATGAATTTATCTTCTTATAAATAAAAGGCAAATAATTTCCCCATTTTCAGTTTAGATAACTAAAATGCTTCTCATGATTTGTCAGGGGAGTGTAATTATTTTCCTTTTCCAAAATTTTTATGATGAACATTTTTAAGCATATAAAAAAGTTAAATAAGTACAATTAACTTGTAAAAAATCACTATGTAGATTCAATTATTGTTAACGTTTTATTATATTTGTCTTATAAGGTTTTAAGTTAAACTTCAATATAAAATTCAAAGTATATTTGAGGACTCACCTTTTCAACCTTGTCATAATTTTTAGCTTTAATCTGAAGAGAAACAGAAAAATACAGGATTAACACTATTTTTTTAGAGCAGCAATCTGAATTTTTGACCATTTTTTAACCAACCTTGCAAACTCATCCCTATACTTCATTTTGTTTTTCAAAAATAACAGAAGTTTGAACCAAACATGGATAAAATGGATAAATATACCTGTGTAAATTGAATCTATATGGATTTTCATACATTCATTTACATAGAAACTTTGTGAATTTAATAAAATGCTGTAAAATAGTCATGAGATGAATACAGAAATATATACCCAACAGGTCTACCTGAATAGGACTTTATGTATCCACTGAAGAAAAACTTAAAGACTTCCTTTTCCTGAATAGCTACTAGAAAAATCTGAGTGAGTAGAGCAGCAAAAAAGATTTGCAAATTTTGACTACATATACTCAGTCACACCATCAACCTACTACATTGCAGATATTGTGCTAGGCATGGAGGCTACCAGTATGAACAAGACAGGTCTGCCTCTGACCTCACAGAGGTTACAATCTTATGGGCAAAAAAAGGAAATGGAAGGTTGTTTTAAAAGGTTATGGGTAAGTGCTAAAATGAAGAAAGTACTGGGTGCTACGGGAACATTTAGGAGGAGCAAAAGACTTAGACTCGGCGAATTGCAAAAGATTTCCTGGAAAAAGATAATAACTTTTTCTAGGAGAATCTGAGATGTTTAGTAAAGAAAGGGAAGTTATTCCAGGCAGAAGAAGTAGCATGTGCAAAGATATTAAATACTATTAGATTTCTCTTTGAGTATTTCATCACATAGTGTGGGTGGGGTTAGGTGTTCAACTGCATTAATCAGCAAATCTTTGTTTCACCCAGATAGGTAAATAAATATTTTGGCTGATTAGAAATGTTTAGGTCCTTTTCTCTCAAGTAGTACAGTAACAGAGAAGCATTCCCAGTTTTCTGGCTTAAGCTGCTGCAGATGAGAATGCTGATGACAGTCTCTTTTGCTTTTGCTGATAACTTTTCTTTCTGGACTTATTTTTATCTTGATCTTCAGAGATCATACATTTTAGCACACTCTTAAATATAGATCTTTGTACTTTGAAGCAGTTCAATCAAGGCTCTGGAGTCAGACCTCTTGGGTTCACAATCTGGCTATTTCTGATTAAGGGGGATAATAATACCTACGGTGTTAGGGCTATTCTGAGGACTCAATGAGTTAATAAATATGAAGCCTTTAGAATATTGCCTAGCAGGTTGAACAGTAACTGTCATTTATTTTTATTACCACAAAATCTGCTTGGAATTCAGCATGCCCTTTGAACCCATATACTCAGGGCTTTTTTTTTTTTTTAGCTCAAGAATAAGTATCTCAAAAAAAAAAAAAGTAAGTATCTCTTCCATCTGTTCATTTTTCTCCTTCTAGAACTATACGTTAGATCTCCTGATTCCATCCTTGAAATCTGTTACCTTTACTCTTTCTGTGAATTTTGCTCAAGGTATTAAAATAGTTTGTCCAGCAGGTTCTCCAGGCTATTCATTTAGGGCTCCATGTGACCATTCTCTTCTACTTAGCCTTTAACTATATTTGGTTCATTCATAATGGTTTTTGACTAGAGTTTTTAACACAGCCCTTTGAATCCTGTGTTCATATTACGTTGTTCCAGTTGTATTTCTCCTCTAGCAGCTCTATTTTGTCAGGGACCTGACAGTTTTAGTTTATATTCCTTTCTGGTTGCTTGATCCTTCCAATGTGCTGGTTTTTTTCCTGTCTATTCACTGAAGCTGTGTTAACAGTCCTAAAGGAATAGAAATTGGCCCTTCTCTACCATGACAGCTTTGTAGCAGGTGTAGGCAGCAAACACCCCTGCCAAGAAACCAGGAAGAAATCTCTACTGAAGAGCAGGGAGGACTCAGCCTGCCTGTTTTCATCCTTTTTGGTTTTCGAGAGGCCAGACTGATGTCAACATTTGTCTGGGGTAGAGAGGCATTTGAGAGATTGCAAGTTTTCTATACGTCAGCATCTTAGTCCTTTACCTAGGCCCTCTCCTGGGCCTCTTCCTTGTGATTCCCATAGAACCTGAGGCTTCCTTGCATTTAGCTGCTTTGCTTAGTAGAGATAAATAGGCTGAGTTGAGAGTGGGAATAAAGTAAGATGAGTTTAAGTCACCAGTTTCTCAAGTGAGATTATATACAGTTCACACAACTTGTTAGGAAAACCAAAGCCACCCACTGGGAAAATAGGCATAGAATATTAATAGTTAATTCCCAGAACAGAAAATGTAAATGGTTAAAAGCTATATGATGGCCAGGAGCGGTAATCCCAGCACTTTGGGAGGCTGAGGCAGGTGATTCATGAGGTCAGGAGATAAAGGCCATCCTGGCCAACTTGGTGAAAGCCCGTCTCTACTAAAATACAAAAAATTAGCCAGGTGTGGTGGTGCGCCCCTGTGGTCCCAACTACGCAGGAGGCTGAGGCAGGGGGATCGCTTGAACCCGGGAGGCAGAGGTTGCAGTGACACAAGATCACACCACTGCACTCCAGTCTGGCGACAGAGCAAGATTCTGTCTCAAAAAAAAAAAAGCTATATGACAGTATGTGTACGCTTTCAATGTGGCAAAGACAAATTAAAATATAGATATTACTTAATAGCCATTAGAATGGCAAAAATTTACAAAGGTATTAACACAACTGAAGCCATGTAATGAAAATGGCATTTCACACCTAGCTGGAGGAAATATGAATTGTTACAGCCTTTATGAAAAGCCATTGGTAATAGCTATTCTAATTTTAAAAAAATGAATCTTTTGACTCAGCAATTCCACTCCTAGAATTATCCTATAAAAATAAAAGCAACAGAATAGAGAGGTATTTGTACAAGGTTAATTACTATAAACTTTGTAGTAGCAAGAACAGCTTAAAAATTAAATGTCCACCAGTGCAGAAATAGTTTAATTATGATGCATCCACAGCATGGAATATTATGTATTCAGCTTTAACAGGTAATTGAGAGGGATTGCCACAAGATTGTATTGAATGAAAGGATAGTAAAATTTATATAATCTATCTTTATAAAACAATAACTAAAAATAAATCCTATATATGTTCATGTATGATATAAGCATAGAGAAAATAAGGAAAACCCACAAGGTTGTTAAACATAGTTATGGTTGGCAGGGTGATATGGGTGGATACAAAAATAGAAACAAGAAAAAGACTGTACTATCATCTATGCATTTCAGTAAAAATTATGTCTATAATGTGTATCTATGAAATAACCAAACTTTACATAACCCTTCCTGACAAAGTGGCCCTGTATCTTGGATTCATCAATTACTTCTTTAATTGGTAAATTGGTATTAGCCCAATAAATGTATGCAGAAAGACACTTGACTAATACAGAAAAACTCTCTGATCCCTAGTACGTGGCCACTGTCATTCATTAATGCAACCAGTAAATATTATTTGAGAGGTCTTCTACAGAGCTGGTACTGGTGGCCTTAACAGAATAGCTATAATCTCATTATTTTTTTAAACACCATTCATTAAAAAAAAATACTTTGAAGCCAGGCAGGGTGGCTCACACCTGTAATCCCAGCATTTTGGGAGGCCGAGGCGGGCAGATCACCTGAGGTCTGAAGTTCAAGACCAGCCTGACCAACATGGAGAAATCCCATCTCTACCAAAAATACAAAATTAGCCAGGCTTGGTGGTGCATGCCTGTAATCCCAGCTACTCAGGAGACTGAGGCAGGAGAATCGCTTGAACCCAGGAGGCGGAGGTTCTGGTGAGCAGAGATCATGTCATTGCACTCCAGCCTGGGCAACAAGATCAAAACTTTATCTAAAAAAAAACACAACCTTTTAAAAACCATGGCCAGGTGTGGTAGCTCACACCTAACAATCCCAGTACTTTGGGAGGCTGAGGTGGCCAGATCACCTGAGGTCAGGAGTTCGAGACCAGCCTGGCCAATGTGGTGAAATCCCATCTCTAATAAAAGTACAAAAATTAGCCAGGCATGGTGGTGCATGCTTGTAATCTCCACTACTCAGGAGGCTGAGCCAGGAGAATCATTTGAATCCAGGAAGTAGAGGTTGCTGTGAGCTGAGATCGCACCATTTCATTGCAGCCTGGGCAACAAGAGCAAAACTCGGTCTCAAGAAAAAAATCATCAATGTGTTTTGGAGGTTAAAACTGCAGTGTGGTAAAATGAAAAGAATTTGATCACACTGCCTCAATTACTCTCTTACAGTATCAGCTTTTCCACCTACAAAATGGGAATGATAATAACATCTACTTCAAAGGGTTGTTATCAAGAATTAAAAATATAAAGCATCTAGACATTTCACGTGCCCATAAATCATACCAGTCAACAAAGTTATGAACTAAAGGAATATAAACTTTTCATTACATCTTCTCTAAATACTTCTCTAAACAGAGCTATATATACCAAGTAGCCAGAAAGAGCAATAGTGTTATAATTGGCCTAACTGATGCATAAGAAAGGTGCAGACCATATTCAAATGCCATTATTAGTGTTGGGATGGCTGAAGACAGGGTATTGACACCAATTAACATTGACATCAATTAATAATAACATCTATTTTTGACACCAACATCCTGTCTTCAGCCATCCTATCACTAATCCATTTTTTTAAAAAGATTATTATCCTATGTATTATTAATATTTATATGAAAACATCTTACCTATAAGTTAGATATTCTTAAATATACTTAGCATAGTTATGCGCATTTGTACAGGAATCCATTCTACCAGATAACCAAAGCTTGGTTTAAATTCTAAAAATAAAAAAATTCTTGATACTTAAGATTATTTTGTTTTGACATCTGGGATTCTCAGAGCTTTCTGCCATTAATCAATAGAAAATGTCTCCATTTAAAGACCACTATATGCATACAAATAATTTTGCAAAACTTACTAAGACTTGCTTATATTTAATCTATTAATAGTGTATAATTTTCAATGACAGAGGCTCTCAATAAAATTAACTTTTTTTTTTGAGACAG